GATCGTAATATAATTTCAAGCCTTCAATATAGTCTTCTTACTTTGCGGGCGAGTTGGTTGTGTGATGTCTGTACAGATTTTACCAACGTAATAAAAGTAGATGACGTGAATAACAGTGATGGTAGAGCAAGCTTAAAACGGCAGAAATTGCCAGAAAATACAACGGATACACAGGGTATGAGTAAGTTTTATTGATTTTAAGAGAAAAATGTTCATATTTCGAAATATGTATCGTTGTAAATCGACCATACTTCGTTCCCTATACTATTCCTTATAACGTGCAGTTCCTCTCGTAACTTAACACCGAGTCACAACGCGTGACGCGTTCATGAATTACCGGTAATCGTTTTTTCTCGAGACGGGACCTTGGGCTGCCTGTGACAAGACAATTGCGTAAACAATATTTAACATAACTAGACCCTGTGAGCAGGGTAACTGGGATACCTGGATGGTACTGGATCCTTGGAATCAATTGTAGCGATAATACGGGTGTCGGACTAGTATACTGAAATAATGAGCTCAAGTCTGGCCAAGAGCATACACCTATTTCAAAACATAGGCATGCTATGCATGCAAGAGTTATTTTTTGTAGGGTGGGTGGATTACTTGAAACATTGTAAGTGGTCTACATTCTTACAAAAGGAAAGAAGAGTATTAACGCGGAAAAGAACGAAAATGTCGAATTACCTCACACACAGGTATTTTGTGGTAGATTGTGTGTTGTGCGAATAAATGTAACCAAAAATAAACATTATACACAAAAAAACACAGGGTTTTGGATCACGTATTTATTAAAAAAGAATATCCATACAACTACAATGAAAACAAACATAAGATTCACCTTTCTGACCGTGAAATTAATACCATTCGTACTGTTATCATAGCCGCTTTCCTTGCCATCAAGTGAATCCAATATGTCGTCTTTCTTCACAAGCAATTTGCATCCATTATAGTTATGTTCTTCAGTCTCACGGTAGTAGTGTTGTTCAATAGATTCCATAGAGTATATGCAGTTTGGTTTCAGATTTCAGATTTTGCTTTTTACAACAAGTGAACGTTTTTTAAATAAGACATTGGCATACTTAGCATACAAGGCATTCAAGGCTTTCATGGCTTTCAAGCGTTCGCGACTCAATCCGTTCCAAAATTACCGCTCAATAACATCTTTCAGTGTGGATTAGCCGCGATTAATACGACTTGTATATGCGTCTGTAAGTATTTTGCGCGTTTGCGCCATAATGCTCCAGGAGATCGCAATCCAAATACGCTGAAATACAAAATAAATGACCAAAGAGTTTTCTAAGCAAAATCTCGTGATTCGTCATGTGACCCGGCCCTGTCTGTGCATGACAACGTCAATCATCATCAAGATAACATGCGTGATCAGCATGTGAACACCTCATTTGATCACAGTTAGTTGTCATGGTGTTGAGGGCCCAATGACCTCTGAGTACTATTGCGCAATTTTCCCATTTTGTGGCGGAGGAAAAAAAAAGAAAAAACTAGACCCTGTGAGCAGGGTAACTGGGATACCTGGATGGTACTGGATCCTTGGAATCAAGTGTAGTGATACTACGGGTATCGGACTAGTATACTGAAATAGTGCGCTCAAGTCTGGTCAAGGGCATACACCTATTTCAAAACATAGGCATGCTATGCATGCAAGAGTTACTTTTTTGTAGGGTGGGTGGATTACTTGAAACATTGTGAGTGATTTCTACATTCTTACAAAAGGAGAGAAGAATATTAATGTGGGAAAGAACGAAAATGTCGAATTACCTCACTCACAGGTATTTTGTGGTAGATTATGTGTGTTTTGCAAATAAATTATAAGCAAAAATAAACTGTATTGGTGCCACGGATACCTGTTACTACAAAATGCAGACAGCAGACTGCAGACCGGATACAAGATATAGACTGCAGACCGCAGAGTGGGTACAAAATGCAGACTAAGAATGAAGAGTTTTTACGTCTGGTATATAATAACATGTCATCTTACAGCTTACCGAGCGTCACGCAATCGCTTTTCTGCGATCCGCCTTCACGATTATTTGCACTATTGTGGAATATTCCTGGCCCATTTCTTGATGAAAATCGATCGCAATATTATTTCAAGCCTTCAATATAGTCTTCTTACTTTGTGCGCGAGTTGGTTGGTGTGAGTCTGTACAGAGGGTGTGAATGGGGTTAACCGACTAGCGACAAAGGGTGTAAAAAATGACTGACTACCGACGAAACGGGGAAAAAATTACCGACTAGCGACAAATAAATTCTAACCGACAACCGACATGGTCAGACGTGATAGGGATGTTTGTATTCAGAAAGAACAGCATTTTGATGATTTCTAGCTCAGAAAATCCTTCTTCACCCGACGTAACCACATTAATTCCAAATTTAGCCGAATTATAGAATTTCTTGTCTTCAAATTACTTTAAATCCACGGGATCCTTCTTTTCGGTGAGCAGCGTGGGCTCATTTCTAGAACAGCGGCTCGTAATCGGGCTGACAAGACGCCCTGCTGTCTCATTTCAAGAACAGCGGATCACAATCGAGCCGACGAGACGCCCTGCTGTTGTCTTTTTATTGCTCGTTGTTTGTTTATGCGGTCGGGTCATGACTGGGATTGCTAAAGTCATCGTGAGTTTTTTTCGAAAAGGTGAAGAAGTCGCCATCGAACGTCATCGAAGCAGGGTCCCAGTAGACAAAGAAGCTCATAGAGGAGTATCTGAACTAAAAAAACATCTTACGGAGTTTTTAGGACTAAAGGAGCAGGCACATCAATATGGAATTGGCGGATTTTCGATCAAGTTATTTCGCCTGGCGAAATCGCCTGCGGGCAAAAGCGAAAATTTTGCAATTGTGACGGATGGGCAATGGCAGCTTGAACTTCCAAATTTAATATCGGATGAAAGTAGCAGTGAGCTCAACGGTAAGTGTGGAACGCGTGCAGCGGAGTTTGATGAATCACTTTAGTTCTGTAGTTAAATATTAAGCTCAAATATTAACGTGGTTAAACTCTGGTTCCACCGTTTTTTGTTTGTTGTTTTGTGGAGCGGAATGTTTTTTTTTCTTTTTCACCGTCCATTTGAATGCGAAAATTGAGAAGAAAAATCTCTACAAAGAAGTAGCTGATTCCATGGCCGATAGCGAAGTGCATGTAAATTTTGCGGATTCAAGAAAAACAAACTCTGTTTAACCAATTATGCCAAACTGTCAGTCTTGCAATTGCACAATTACTTTCGATACTTACAAATAAGTTAATCCATTTTTTCTTTCACGTCTTTTACGATTCTTCACAACACACGTAGGGGAAGATTTTGTAATTTTTAGCCAGCTTTGGTTGATACCAAAGCTGGCTAGCTTTTAGCGTTGGTATTTTCATTGTGCGAAAATAAGAGCCCGGCATTCAAGTTATAAACGCTCGCTGTCAAGTTTTTTTTTTTTTTTTTTTTTTTTTTTTTTTTCTCAATACCCACCAAAGTGATAATGATAGTAATAGAGTTTATGGGTTTCTCTTTGTAGGGGCAGGGCAAAACCTAGGGACAATTCAAAAGAAACTGAAGGATCGGATTTTTTTTTTCAGCTCTGAAGGATTTGAATGGCAGTGTTGCACTAAGCGAAGTGCAAATCAAGTGTGGCATATGTTCAAAAAGCTATGCTTGTCGTCACACAGACAGGACATTTAATGGAAAAGTCAGCTACGTCAAAGCGAGTAAGTAATGATCACTTATCTTTACATATTTTATCAGACTTATGATAAATTAGCGTTCGTGACAGTCTTGCCTGTTAAGTCCTTAAACTATTTTAATATATATTTTGTATTTTTATTCACACTTGAAAATGACCTCATAGAGGTCGAAACGTGACTTTTTAGCGTTAATTTTTATAAAATTTATGAAATTACTCATCCAGAATTGACGAAAAGTAGATAAACTTAGAGAGATAAGAGACGAATAATCATCATCAAAGAATTACTATGGGAGCACTTATTGAAAAACGTCAACGAGACGACTTTTTTTAATACTGAAAGGTTAAAAGCGGCTGGAAACCGAGAGAGGGATGCTTAGAGCATGGAAATTCGTGATATCTAAACTAAATACTTAAATAGTTACAGACCACTTCGACAAGTGTCTAAGCAGAAAGAACAAGAATGATGCCACTCTTAAGAGTCAAGGTCGCATGGATGCATTTCTGATGAAAGCCAGTAACTCGATATCATCCAAACAAAAGGCAGGAGATATTGCTAACAATGAGGCCGACATGAGCAAAGAGGACTTTGACGGCGCAGATGCCACATTGGCAGAGTAGTAATTTCATTTCAGTTGCTTCTGTGATGAACAAATCAAGAGCTTTCAACGTCATAAAGTTAGAGTCGCGATAAACTGGCGTTGTGCGTATAGCTCCATAGATTAAATGACCTTGAAATGTACAAATTGTTCGGTTTGTTTACCCCAGTGCAAGAGACACGTAAGCCAATAAATGTTATTTTGGTTATTAGATGTTTTTGGTTGTTTCTTATATTACTTCATTACTGTTCATATCGTTTGATTTGCCAATAAAATCGAGCCTAATTTTAGTATACTTCGGCTTGTTAGTGAATATAAAGACGAGTTATTCCCAGATGCCTTGGACTCTGATTACGACAAAGGCTGTTTAGCTGGCCCTCAGGGATCTGTACCGGACATCAGCGTCAAGGAGGACAATCCAAATTATGATGCCCCCGTAGTTTCAGATAATGATACAGATGCAAGTTCCGCTGGGTGTGAAACTGAGAGTGAAGATTCCGAGTTTATATCATGCCCTATGTAAGTGTTTCTGCTTGCGCTCCATCCCTATGTTTTCAGTCTCAAGCTTTTCTACAATTTGTTACACTTTTTTTTCTTTCCCTATCTACCATCTCTCTAAATGACGCTCATCCACTGGCTGTGAAACTCAACAAGCTCATTGAAGATGGGAAGATATCAGAAAGTTGCATTTATTACAAGTTCCTTAATGATACAATGTCGTTTGTATTGACTGATCCCAAAACTGCGTCTGGCTTTAAATGGGATGACGAGGTATGTGAATTTTTCTCGACCATCAAATACCTTGGAGGTGAAAGAACAAGAAAGTTCGTCCGAGGGCCAGGCTTCTTCAGAACAGGGAGAGGCGGAGAAAAAGAATTCAAATCGTTCGCGGATTTTAACTTGTGTGGCCCCTCCTTAAACGCGACAAAACGATGCCAATCAGGCTACACAACAGAAAGTGGAATGATTAAGACTCATTTGCAGTCACTCCATTCCCTGTGTCAACATCCAAAAGCAGATCTACATGCGATTGTTGATAACGAGAAGGTTCGCGCCATCCCAGTAGCTTTAGCAAGTGACGGCACGGCTCTGAAGCCAGGTCTAGAATACGACTCACGTCAAAAACAAGTAATTGGTCTTACACATAAAGTGGACGAGAAATTCGTGAAAAAGCATCCTCTTCCAGACCCTGAAAAGATAAAGACCAATCTAATCACCAACGCAGACGTAACAATTGCGACCTCGCTTGATAACGGTGCTGCGATGCCCGTGGCGGTTAACTTCCGACCCAAATCTGTGACTGGAGAAGAAATATTTTCTTGCATGGAAGATAGTATTAGAACCGTACAAACCTTTCAAAATTGCTTGAAAGGTCAGCGAAGTGTTAAACACATTGTGACGAGTGAGGCCTCAAATTGTTTAGCAATGAGCAAATGCGAAGAGTGCCTAAAAGCAAAATCGGTCTGTGCAAGCTGCAAGAACATGGGACAAGTTTCTCACCACTCTTCTTTAAGGGCATGTGATTCTTGCTCAGATAGAAACGTGACGTGCCAAAAGCTAGTTGTTATGGCAGTAGCAACCGACTGCGAGGAGTGCAAGAAGGCACTTGTTCGCTTAAGTGACATGGCAGATGGCAAGGAACTGCCACCAGAATTAGAATTGGTAGTTCCCTTGCCAGATGTCGTTCATATTGGAAAAAGCTTTAAGTGTAGCTGGTCGAACTGGTTTATCAATTTAGACGGTGAATTTAGCAATCTTGTGTTGCTTCGAAGCTTACGTGACAATGCGGAGGCGTTTATCAAAAAGAAGCTTCGAAAGTTGCTTTCACTTGAATGTGTTAGGAATAAAGACAGAATGGCTGTCGAATCCATTATTCGTTTAACACGACCAGAAGTTCTCAGTGCTGCAGGACGTTAAGTTCGTTGTTCATACCATCGTACCAGAACAATACAGGTTTTGGAAAAGTAACCAACGTGGTGTATGCCCTCACCCGATCGCAGTTTCTGAAGGCCCAACAGGCTCGATCCTTGCGCTTGATTACAACTTTGAGACAGGTTTATCAAGACTCCTAACAATAAGATTGCACCAGCCAGCAGATGTCTCTGTTGTGCGAGATGGACTGAAGGATGCTAGGAACTTGTGCTTCATCGATGGGATTGCATTCTTGTGCGAAAGGGGAAAATCTACAATTTCTTTTGTCGACTTCGAGGGAAAAGTGAAGATAAGTACAAAGTCACTCAAGCGACGAGCTGAACTTTTGAGGCACTTAGAGGCACTATCTCTCCCAACGGATGGAGCGGTTCCCGTTTTGCGCGAAAGACTTAAGGACCAATTGGGTGCCATTTCTAAGAACACGGACTGTGCAGAACACGTCCAGATGCATCCTAATCGTCTTGGTAAGCCTTCTGCTGTCTATGCTGCAAGCAATGATTTGTTATTTTGTAGTGATGACGAGAGTCAATATGTCTATCAGATAACATTGACATTTGATGGAGTGACCATTCACGGCAATGCTACGAAATTCACTGCCTATCCATCCAGCATCACAAATCTTTTGTCTATTACTCCACTTGACCAATGCGCATTCTTCTCAGGAGCCTCGAGCCAAGGTGGGCTTTATAAATGTGAACTTAGCGCAAAGACAGTGACCAAAGCTGTATGCAACTCGACTCTTCCTTGCTCTGAGGTAAACCAAGTATGCACCTTGAACGGGAGGGTAGTTTACACGAATACAAAGGCGGGAAAGGTTATACAATACAACCCTGATGATAAATCGGTTAGGAATTTGGTAGGAAGTGGCCACAACAGTTCTTCCGATGGGACACAAGACTCATGCTCATTCAAACAAATCGAAGGGATATGCTCTGTAGACAAGAACTTGTTTGTTACAGATGTTTCCGCTGGAAAACTGAAGATAGTGACGAGCCTCTCAGAAACGGTATTTTTTCTGGGGATTCTCGGCTCCCTTTACGATACCTTTGGAATTCATTCTAAGGGTATAAAACCAGACGGAGTGTCCTTGAAACAAGCAAAAGAGAACGTGACAAAGATTGTCAGCTATGTAAAAGACACTGTGAGTAAGGTGAAAGAACGCTACCAGTTGAGCGAGACGTCTGCAACCAATGGTCCACAGGGAATTGTATCATAGAAGACGCAAGTATCTGTGTCTTTGCTTAAAAAGGGCATAGAAAGGCTATACAAGAACGTGATGAACATTAACCCCCAATTTGTAGGTTATCTGCTGCTCGAAACGTTGCTCACAACAGTAGTGGAAAATTTGCACGCTGTTTCGCATCTTAAACACGAGACATTTACGGTACTTACCTATGCCCAGGATTTTGGAACAATTTGCAAGGAATCTTTGCAATCAAATCTCTTTGAAGCGCACATCTAGATGGGCAGCAAAGTACTACACGCATGACAAATCCTACTATCCGGTACCTCAATCCGCCATGCCCCTTTCTGCTATAGCTACGATGACACCTTTGCCAAGTGAGGACATAACACCAGGGATGGAAGGACAGATCAAAGAGTGGCTAGAGAGTTACAGACCAGTACGCCAACGGACGGTTAGGAGTGAGACCACAAAAGATAAGGCTGGGGCCTTGCCGCCAGCTGTCTACGCCGTTCACCACACCGACGAGTCTGAAGAGAGGCTTCGATATCCTGAAGAAAACACTGTATCGTCAGCAAATGCACAACGCGTTGTCAGCATACAATTTGTGGACGAAGGGGATGTTACTGAGGTGTTTGAGGATCACAGAGAAGTACAAATCGATGAGTATGAGACAGATTCGGATGACGAGGAATCAGATTTTGAAGAACATCCAGAGGTTGTCAACAGAGCGTGTGTTACCCGATCCGGCAGGGCTGTTCGTGCATTTGTGCGTCTCGACATGTAAGAGGTACTAACAGTTAAAAAATCCATTTAACGGTGCAGATTGATACGTATGACAACCAAATTTTTGGCAAAAAAAAAGAGAAAAAAAAGAGAAAAAAAAGAAACCTCGCAGAAAAGCCACGAGAGCCGTTGAATAATAAGTGTAGTGAGTTTTTGTGGACGTCTCGGAAAAAAGACTTCCGTAGCTTACAAATTAAAACTAGGTATCCCAGGGGCTAGAGTGGGTGTTTTATTCTTTGTAGAATTTACCTCTCTTGATTTACTTCGATGCCCCGTAGTCGACAGGAAACAAATTCACATCTATAATAAAAACTTTGGTGAATTTTATCGGTATACTAGATTTGCAAACAAAAGTGGGGTAGATGAGCACGTTGCTAAATTTAAAAAAAGCGTTAACGAGGTTTAAGTGAAAACAAATAATGAATTATTACAAGTATTACACTTCGTCTAGAGTTTAAAGTCTTAAAACTGGGCAAATTGCATAATAAATGTGAATAATTAACGTGTATTTTTAATTATTAACTGAGATTTACCGACAACCGACAAAGGTCAAAAATCTTAACCGAAAACCGACAAAGTAATGAAATTTTAACTGACAACCGACATTTTGACCCCCCCATTCAGACCCTCTGTACAGATTTTACCAACGTAATTAAAGTAGATGACGTGAATAACAGTGATGGTAAAGCAAGCTTAAAACGGCAGAAATTGCCAGAAAATACAACGGATACACAGGGTATGAGTAAGTTTCATTGATTTTACAAGAAAAATGTTCATATTTCGAAATATGTATCGTTGTAAATCGACCATACTTCGTTCCCTATACTATTCCTTAGAACGTGCAGTTCCTCTCGTAACTTAACACCGAGTCACACAACGCGCGACGCGTTCATCTTTTTCTCGAGACGTGAGCTTGGGCTGCCTGTGACGAGACAATTGCGTAAACAATATTTAACATAATAACATTATACACAAAAAACACAGGGTATTGGATCACGTATTTATTAGAAAAGAATATCCATGCAACTACAATGAAAACAAACATAAGATTCACCTTTCTGATCGTAAAATTAATACCATTGGTACTGTTATCGTAGCTTCGTTCCTTGCCATCAAGTGAATCCAACATGTCGTCTTTCTTCACAAGCATGTCTCACGGTAGTAGTGTTGTTCAATAGATTCCATAGAGTATATGCAGTTTGGTTTCAGATTTCAGATTTTGCTTTTTACAACAAGTGAACGCTTTTTAAATAAGACATTGGCATACTTAGCATACAAGGCATTCAAGGCTTTCATGGCTTTCAAGCGTTCGCGACTCAATCCGTTCCAAAATTACCGCTCAATAACATCTTTCAGTGTGGATTAGCCGCGATTAATACGACTTGTATATGCGTCTGTAAGTATTTTGCGCGTTTGCGCCATAATGCTCCAGGAGATCGCAATCCAAATACGTTGAAATACAAAATAAATGACCAAAGAGTTTTCTAAGCAAAATCTCGTGATTCGTCATGTGACCCGGCCCTGTCTGTGCATGACAACGTCAATCATCATCAAGATAACACACGTGATCAGCATGTGAACACCTCATTGGATCACAGTTAGTTGTCATGGTGTTGAGGGATAACACGCGTGATCAGCATGTGAACACCTCATTGGATCACAGTTAGTTGTCATGGTGTTGAGGGCCCAATGACCTCTGGGTACTATTGCGCAATTTTTCCATTTTGTGGCGGAGGAAAAAAAAAAAAAAAAAGATGACAAAAAAACAAAGGCATTTTATGACTGGGCTACCACAGGTCTCCCAGTAAAAAACAAAGACATTTTATGACTGGGCTACCACAGGTATCCCAGTAATAAGTTGGCGTCTGTTATTACTTCTTTACTACAGTAATGTACTTGAAAACATTATGCGCTTCTGATTGGCGGAAAACCTATGTGTTCTCATGTAACACGAGTGCAAAGTTGTAACACGAGTGCAAATTACAGATAGCGCGCGCACGCTTCAAAAGTTCGTCTGCCTGACTTCTGTGATGTTTTTTTTATGTTCGTTATTAAAAAGTAATAACGTGATTTCTCTTGCTATTTGGTGTGATAGACACTTAAAAATTTTTCAAACAAAAATTTCACTTGACCTGCGCGCTCGTTCAAGTTTGCTGTCTGAAAAATTTCCTTGTACTTCATTTACCAACAATCAAATTGTACTGGAAACCATTTTATCGTCTATACTTCAGAATAGGAAAGTCAACCATGTGTGGTGTGTGGTGTGTGGTGTGTGTGACATTATGCGACTAAATCTTTGCAACCTTGATCGGAACCAGCTTTCTTATACCCTCATCTAGTTTCGTCAAGTGTCTATCGTATATTTTCTACGTACTTTTGTCGTCATCGAAAAGAGGTCGTCGTGCACAATGGAAAGCCACCTTATTAATTATATGGCTTGCTGGATCAATTCTAAAAGTCTTGGTATGAGGCAAGAAAACAAGCAGCGGGTCCTTCGAGGCTGTGCTACACAGCACTTCGGAGGAAAGTCAAAGTCAAAGGCTCCTCTCTGTACTTGAATGACATTTACAATCGATTGCAAGCCTAATTTCATAGAACTTTTTGAGTGACCTTTTTCTCACGGTGAGATCGAATTCAGAGATACTTTTTTCAAAAATTTCCTTTCAGTACGTTTTATTATTTAAGCGTATTTAGAAGAGCTGCATGTTTTTACCAAAAGTGAAACGTGACGAATTTATTGATAGAAGGCGCAGCACTTCTCCTTTTACGAATCCTTTCTTTGCGCCTGGTGAATGACACCAGCGTTTTACCAGCACTAATATATATTCAAGTATTCCACCCAAACGAGGCGCAGGTGTGACCCTTGTCCAAGCCCGAAATTTTTCCAAGCTTCTTTTTGTACAATTTATTCAGTTTGTACACTGTAACTGTGAGCAAAATTTTGGTAATTATTTGCTTATCACGTGAAGACTTTTCTAAAAAGAACCGTCATTCTTCTCAGTTTTATATTTTGTTAGCTTTACTTGTATCTCTGGGGCAGGTAACTCTTTGACCCGTCGGCGTGCTAACTTCTCCTTACATTTTTTGAGGTCAGGAGAACAAAGAAAATGATCACCAGCTAAAGAAGCTAATGATTGTTTAACAATTTCTCCTTAACAGCACCTCAAAAAATGTATGAAGAACAGTAAGGAGAATATGGCTACTGATGTTAGGGTGTAAAGGGTTGAAATTTAACTTTTCTTGTGGATTTTGGATTCTCAGATACTCTGAGTACCTATGATGACTTGGATTCTGATGCGATAAAGAACTACTCTGAGTTCTCCTTGGCTAGTCTTTTGTTTTATGGCATGAAGGAGGGAGCCTGCAGCGAGCAGAGCTCTCGAATGACTGCAATGGACAGTGCTAGTAAAAATGAGTAAATAGTGAACAGCTTCGCTCTTTAACTTTGTGAGAGTTGGAAGAGCTCCGTGGCGAGTATGCCAATTTCAACTTAAAAACCTCCTCACTCTCAAAATGAGGCGAAGTGTAAAACCTTTGAGGAGCAAAAGTGAATTGTTTGGTTGAAAATGAAAACATGTGTCATAACGAAGGCTTTACCAGTATCTTTGTCCTAAACAGGAGCCTTGTGCTTCTCGTAAATGGCTTACAGTAATTGTTTGGACCGTCAGTATTCAAGTTATCCCTCATCACAACATGTGAGTATGCACACATTGGTTCCGATTCATTAAAACGTCAGAGAGCACTTTGATTGAGGGTCGCAAAACCAAACCCAACTTAATCACAACGGCCGACCAGAAGAAAGGAAATACCTTTAAGAGCCAATGAAAGCTTAAAATAAAACCAACCAAACTACCTAAAGCGCGGGAAAACGCGGGCGACCAGGTCGTGAGTGGTTTTTAGTTTTGCATCTGACTGGTTGAGAGAGTGGCGCGGGTTTTCTGAACCAATCACAAAGCAAAAACAAAGCAAGCCGGATTTCTTTCGACATTCAATTACAAATTGCTCTAAAGTGTTGGATAACGTGTTATCAATCAAATGTGACTTTTTCCAATTAATATGGAATCGTTAGCCATCCAAGATACTGGATGGCAAATTGCGAATAAGCGACTTTTTTTTTGGTAAAAATTTCCCACACATCTTGAAACATTTGGAATACTGGCTCATTCATTTCAAACGCCAGTGAAAATGGCAAAAGAGTTGAAAATACAAGACGCCACCAACAAAGACAACCCAAAAATCAAGAAAACATTTGATTATGCTGTCACAAGTGGATTCTATTATTGTAATAACCTAGCACACAACAATAATACAGAAATGAAATTCGTTTCAAGTGGAGGCAATGTTTTGATTTCGCCTCCTTTCGCCTCCTTTCGTAGCGCCTATTTCAGCGTCATCAAGAATGCGTTAATTATCCAAGAAGGCGGTTTTTATGAGATTCGTTTCAAGGATGGTTACGAAGGTCCCTCCAGATACGAATGTCTAAACATAAAGCCTCATTTTTAGTCCAAATCACAAATCTTGAAGATATAAATGGTAAATGGATCGATATCAACGTTTTTCATGTCGTCCATTTCACAAAAGAGGAAGGAATTAAGATTACGAATTCCACCTTGAAGTGGTGGATTATTAGATGGAGGATCTTACAGCAGTATTTTGTCAAGAAACTGCAATTTTATATATCATATATATACATATGAAAATAATTAAAACGATTTTTGATTTTAATCACATAGACGAATACATTGACAAAAATCAATTAAACGAGATTAGAGTACTGTACCGATTTTTATAATTAAAAAATTTTGTCTATAAAGGAGAGCATACAAATATATCGAGCTCTGTCAGGGCGTGAACCTACATGTGACTCGTGGGATACTCCATGTTTTGAAATTTTTCCTTAGCCCCTTCCTTGTCACCTTGTTTCTTGTGAAAAAATCTCCCAAACGTTTCTGTCAAATACTGAAAAAATCGCTCAGCTTATAGGTGAAGAAATATTGATTTTCTTATGTTTTTATTTATTTAATTAAAATTAATTTTTTTTCTCCGTCTGGATATCTACTGGATTTATAGTAATTTGGCACGTTCGCGTTTAAACGAGTCTTGCACTCATTCGTGTGATGTGGATAAATAAAATACCTAACTACCTACCTATTATGTTCGTAATACTTTACTTAGAAACACTGGACGCTGGAAATGGTGTGTAAATAAGAAGAGTTCGGTCGAGTCGTCACGAAATTAAAGTCCTCTTAAATTTATTGCTGGTACGTTGGTTACAGTCTCTGATGAATGTGGAATTATGTCGATGGATTCGTTGTACGAACGAGCGGACGCCGTTAGGCGAGAAAAAATGCTTTCCCTAACAAGAAGTTGAGCTGGCCACCTTGAATACTTAAACAAGTGTTACAAAGACGTCGAGTTATTAATGTGGACCGCTGAAAATTTTCGCGAGGCTTGTACGAAGAAGAAAGATGTCGAAATCGCGTTTGCGAGATGTTTTCAAGCTTACGACGAATATTATCAATTTGTCGACGTCCCCGAAGTTAAATCAGATGCGCTTAATAATTATATTCGACTTTGTAGAGGAACACAAATGATTCTCTTCCTCTTAATTATCTGTGTGCGTCTTTAGTGCCTGCTTGAAGAGAATGTTTAGACACGGACAATGATGACGAACCGTGCATTATTCTAATTTTTGGGAGAAGTTACTAAAAGCGTAATTTAATTCTAGAATGTAACGACTGATAAGAAATCTGACCTGAGCAATACTGAATTATTGTCATATTCTAATTTTTGATTGATTTTTGAAAGTTTGTTGGAAACTGAAAGATACATTAATTACTTAACTTGATTGACAATTATAAGTGATTTCGTTTATCTATACATAACCAAACAAATATGTATGCGGCACGTGTTTTATCCATTTTATCCCATCGTACTGTTCCACCTGCTTAAAACGGGACGTTAAGAGAGTGTTTCTTTCGAATAAGCCGAGAGTTGTGAGCGGGAGTTGACCGAATTGAATCGTGTGAATAAATCGTGACTTAATAAGAAAGCGTGGTACAGCTCTTTCACGTTTTCGACAAACTTATTTATTTTGCGAAAGAAGTGTAGGGAGAAACACGAGTGCTCAAGCTGCTTCTTAAGTGCTTTACATATGAACAGAGCATAGTCAAGGCTTCTCTATTTGTTTTAAAATAAATTTAATTCGCCACGTATTACTTTCAATGTTGGAATTTCATTTTCCAAGCGAACAACAGTGTTTTCAGCACTTTCCATACTCTCATAGAGCACACTACAGTTAGACTACCTGTTAGAATGGTTCAAATAATCTAATTGCTTGAAGAAGACTTAAGCTGTCAAAAATGTTAAACCATCATAGTTTTACGATTTGCAATCGTTTAAAAACTGAAATAGTTCGGCGCGGTAGGTATCTAATACAGGATCTGAAAGTGAAGTATTCCTTAAAAAACACTTTGACATACCTGATTGGAATATCGAAACTTCATCATTTAAAAGACAACATGATTGCCTCCGAAATACTAAAATAGGAAGAAAAAGAAGTGAAAAGTTTTGTTAAGTATTTAAATTGACCAACTTTGCGTTAAAACAGTGCATACAAGTGATTGAAATAATTAAACTTAATGGGAGACCAGAGTTTGATAAGAAACTTATAATAGAAAGTAATTATGAAATGGGGTTTCTGGCACATTTTCGAATCAACCTTGATTTTGAGGTTAACCTTGAAAAGGTTAACTTCCTTGAAGTTAACTTGAAATCAAGGTCGATTTCAAAGTGCAGTTCTTGAACATTTTGAAGTCAACCTTGATTTTAAAAGACCACTGAAATTTTTCATCGTCTGACCTGTGAAAAAAAAATTCACATCCTCTTAATGTCTCACCTGTGAGCTCCGAAGTGTCCATGAGCGAACGTGTGAATATTATCATCTTGAATGATCCACTTGTCGTCGTTTTCTGAAAGGGCAAATTTTTTTTGATTGTCTCACTGCAGACTTCATGCGTGTGGCTTCTTATCACATATGTTCTCTTGAAATGGTCGAACGACAGGATCATCATCCATTATTTATTTTCTTATGATGTGCCTTTATTTATTGCTCTGACAAAGCAGTGTCAATTTGATCGACGGCTTGTTAATTAACAGAGGCAAATTAACAATTGGTTCATACGTCAGCGTGCGTTCATCGAGATATGAAGCACGCGGAAAGTTTGGAGAGCACGAAAGATGCGTAAGAGTTGCGTAGCGTAGCCGAGAGCAACTCTAACTTCTTAAGTGCTCTTCAAACTTCCCGGCCAAGTGCTTCATATCTTGATGAACGCACAGCTGACGTATGAACCGATTGTTTTATAACATTTTCAACCCGATGGAAAATCTTTTTCTGGACGGATTTGTTTGCTGACGTCATGAGCGTGCACAATAGGAATATGGAGCACGCTCGCGCAATTGAATTTGATTACACAAATTTACTAGCTATGTTATAATAAATGATTGTGTTTCTAAACTTTTCGGATTCATCCAAATATTTGATAAGTTTGAGGTCAAATATCTCCCCTTGCTAGAAGGTTACAACACTAATTTTAATTCCTCTTTATAATCCATCATTTCATTTCTGAAAACCATCAAAAAAATTTTTGGGTACTGCCGTATCTTTGACTTGGATGCCTTTTAAAGTCTATATCAATTGCTGCAAGCTTCTCTAAACTACACCTGTTACGCAATTATGGCTCTAAGCGGTCACTTATGCAAATAAAGCTTCATTTTATAGCTCGTTATGCAAGATGATCGATCAAGAAAGTTGAGAAATGTAAACAAGTTTCGAGATTTTCTGTAGGGATGGTAAATTTCTCGTTTAAAGAAAAGCATGTAGGCGAAATTTTAATGGGAAAATGTAGCGTTTCTTTCTCCTGTGGTTTATTACTTTGGAGATTTGCTAAAACCGGAAAATATGGCTTTTGTACAGCACAAAACATTAGTGTATAATTTGATTGTCTATTATCATTATCACCCTGTTCACAATTAGGAAACTGTAACAGGAGAGGAGATTTTAAAGTCACATGTCGCGTGCTTGTTGACATACAATTTCCAGTGTATAATACCGGCTTTTGCAGACCGAGGATGACGAGAAACTCTGCTCTCTCGTCTAAAGGGAAATATCAATACCCCCATGAAATTCATAAATTGCGCTGTTTTTCCAAAAAAGAAGACTGGAAAATGTTGTTTTCACTTCCACCATCAAGAAATTCCACACAGAAATAGTATTTGTAGTGTGACCGCGTAGCCTTTCTCGAGAAGTACGAAAAAGTTTTACCTTAAATCATGGAAAGTTGAAATCAACCTTGACGAACAGTTCTGTCATATTTTGAAAGCAACCTTGATTTCAAGGCAACTCATGAATTTCAACCTTGAAATCAACCTTGATTTCAAAAACACAGTTTTTGCGCATTTTTAGATCAACCTTGATTTCAAGGCAACTTGAATTTTTCTCAGGTGAATGATATTCGGAAACTCACCCGTGAGTTCTGAAGAGTGCGTAAATATTATCATCTTTAACGATTCTCTTGTCTCGTCATCGGGGCGTTGATTACTTGTGAGAAGATTTTCAAATATCAATGTTGTATCTTCTCACAAAGAAGTCGTGGTATGCCGCTCCGCGGCGGGCCCCTTCAGAGCTTGCCTTGATTTGTTCTTCTGTCAAAATGGTGTCTTTAAAAATGAGAAGGGTATAACACCTAATTCATCAGGATTGCTTGGGTGAAGGCCTCCTAAAGGAGGCAACTCATGCAGTTCCAGGAGGAACAATCTGAAGCTCTTTACTTGTCTACTTAATACTGAATTGATATTGTAAGAAGAAATTCTGTCTTGGTGACTCATGGGAGTCAAAGAGTTAAGGAATAAATCATAAGTATATAAGCGAAACGAAAGCTCAAAAACAACTAACTAAAACTCTGCGAAAAAACAAACTAAAAGTACACGAAAGATGTCCACGTCAGTTTCCCAATGTCAAGGTTAGAGTTCTTTGACGTGATTGGCTAATTTGTGAAATGTGTGCCGCGCGTGAATACTAAAAGAACACGAAGGGGGAAGAGGAGGAGAAAAGTTGTTACATGAAATTTAAAAACGAAATAGACTTTCTAAAGCTGCTGTTTAACTGTCTTGAGTACTCCCTGATTTCAGTGAGTCTCGACGATAACTGTAGAGCTATTGCAAATCCCATCCTATTAACCCTTGAAACGCGTTTGACATTCCTTACAATTTCTCCTAACTCGACTGCATACCCCATCCTTACACTTTGTTGAGAGAATTTCTACCTTCATCAGACCAATCCTAATAGGCTGTTTTCATGGATTTCCTGCAACCAACTGACCAATAGCAATTATTTTCTTTACCATAATAGAATTATCAGCGTTTACTGGAAGACGCGGAACAACCATCGATACCAACGACCAAATCTTTCAAGAATCTTCTATTTTAATCATTGTAGCCAAATGACAATGCATTAATGAGAGACTTTTCATTTAAAGCGCAGGCGGGGCCATTGTGGCGATGCCCACCTTCAAGCGAAAACCTGGCCGCTTTTGACACTCAACTACCCTCCAGCCATGGGAATGAATGGAGAAGTTTTTCCGTACGAATCTTTGCCCAACCGAATTTCTAAAATGTTACAGGAATTGGTCTACATACTTTATTTGAAGAAATATCATTATCACATTCAGTTCCCTGAAAAGTATTTTTGACCCTAAAGAGTTATGCAAAATGTCTTCGTAATACGTCGAGATCAAATATATCAGTTATATTACGTACTCTGATTAAGTTAGAAATTTATCCTACTTTTTGCTCTCGGAAGTTTTAGTATGATTATTCTAAATTATCCTTTTTCAAAAGTACTTTCTCCCCAACCCCTCCTTCACAGGATGGGCTCGCGTAAAAAGACTGATGAACTTGCAGAACATGATTTGGTTCTTTATTACTAAAATGTCTACTTTTGAAAATTGCTAGGAAAGCTTAATTAGGAACATAGGCGAGATGGAAATATATTTTTTGAGAATCGATCAGTAAAGTTAATAATCACACGATATTGCATCTGTCAAATAGTTTGAGCAGAACGTATTAAAAAACTGCTCAGATTTAAATGGTCTTTGCAGCATTTGCTACACTGTTATGTAGTGGATGATTCCAACATTTACTTCATCGGGAATTGCTCCATTGCTGGGTAACAAATCTTAAAAGGAACGTCAAATTTAGAGGAAAAGACCAACGCATGTATGTTTGATTGTACTCTACCACTCTGAGTGGTGAAGGGCAGCAAGAAGGACATGGCATGTGTGAAGTGTCTCTGTCTCTCTCTCTCTCTCTCTCTCTCTCTCTCTCTCTCTGTCTCTCTCTCTCTCTCTCTCTCTCTCGTTATTTTCGTCAATAGGGATATCATTAATCGACATTAACGAAACCTGTTGGCCTAGTTCAATCTCAGAAGAAGCACCTGTATAAGATCTTAAATTGTTGTGAAGGAATGAAATAAATCAAAATTCTTCTCGAGGAATGCAAATAACATCTCTGTCGTTTATCAGAAGAGAGGACAGCTAAATTATCGAGCATGATTCTGTATTCGCTGCTTGTTGTACATATTTCATAACAGCAAAATAGCTGTGATTCAACATGATGTCTAAGATGGTTGCTTAGATACACATATCGAGTTTACGACCAACTGAAGAAGTAGGCGAACTCATCGATCAGTGTAGGAGACACTGTCTAAGTAAGAACATAATTGAATTCTTTAAGACCTCGGCGAGTCCTAAGCGAAACTTTTCTTGCTGTAGCTGAAAAACAACTCAGAGTAAATATCAGTGTTGCTTAATTTTGCCGTGAACAAAAGAGAAAAGTCTGGAAAGGGAAAGTATGTTTTATCATTGTTTATATGTTTGCTCGGAAAGGAAGAGTCTTAAAGAAGTAGTTCAGTTTCCCAGAAAGTTTAAACTAAAACACTTTATTTATACTGGCATTTCCGAGGTCATGCGTGCAGATAGTACATAAAATTTCCATTGGACTTTGTAGAGGAACACAAATGATTCTCCTCCTCTTAATTCTCTGTGTGCGTCTTTAGTGCGTGCTTGAAGAGGATATTTAAACACAGACAATGATGACGAGCCGCGAATTATTCTCATTTTTGGGAGAAGTTACTAAAACCGTAATTTAATTCTAGAGCGTAACGACTGACGAGACATTTGACCTGAGTAATGGCGAATTATTCTCAAATTCTACTGCCGATCCAAAAGCCCTCCACATTATGATTTGCTGAGAGAAATCCAATTGCCATGGAACACAATGCAGACGAAATAAACGTAATACAGAACAAAAAATAGTTGATTTCAGTGTATGTATAAACTTATAAAATTCGTCCACTAAACACGTCCAAAGTAATTATTGGATTAGCGTCACATTTCTCAACAAAGTTCTAATACTAAGTTAGGAAGTTTGAGAAGCAGGCTGAATTTTCTCATGTGAACCCAAGGCGAAATTCGTCCCGGTAAGCGGGCCAGCCCGGTCAGCTGGGCTCGTATGAAGAGGCCCTCAATTGCAAATTGCTCTAAAGTGCTGGATAACGTGTTATCAATCAAATGTGGCTTTTCCCAAAATTATACGGAATCGCTAGCCATCCAAGATACTGGATGGCAAAATTGCGCATGAGCGACAGTTTTTTGTAAAAATTTCCGACATCTCTTGAAGCGTTTGCTATGCCGTGCTCATTCAGTAATCATTTTATCTTTCAATAGTCATAACATTTGTTCATGGTCCGAAAATGGGTATTTCAGCACTAAAAGGTGTACAAAAGAATTGCCTTTGCCAAGGTTTATTAACTGTTTCCATCTCCCTTAAAGGTGAAATGATTGGCAAGTTGACTTTGATTACAACTGAGATAATCTCGGAAGCTGCTGCATTGGATTAGATTGAGAACTTTTATTAAATTGATGTCTTAATTGATGTTTGTACTTGTTGAAATAAAGAAGTCCTTGGGGGTATGTTTCCATCCTTGACAAAATGTGTTCTTGAATTGCGCTAACGATATGTACCTAGTCATCTCCTGAAGGGGAATAGTATGAGACTCGCCAACTATTGCTTTTCCGTTCGAAAATTAATACTTTTTTTTTTAATCGTTGTTGTCTTTCATCCACACTAAAAAACATCGATGAAATACAAACTAACTAGGAATCTTGAGTAGGTCGTGGGATTTGCTAGCCGTATTCATGCGATCAACAAGAGGTATTCCACTTCATGATTGCCCTTGGAATATACAACAGAATTTGAAGTTTAAAAGTTTGACATTAAGCAGAACAACAAGTTCCTTTTACAGCTGCACGACAATGAAGCTTATTCAAATGGAATATCAGGTTACATACATTTTTCCTACATTCTACCAATTGACTTTGAATGATTGACCCCTATCTGGTGAATGTAGCATGCGTGGCGAGGTTCTAAAGAAGGGAATAGGGGTGAATGGGAAAAAAATAAATAAATAAAAACACTCGATTTTCTACAGTGCCTCTTAAGGTCTGTTCGTGACTTACAGAGCCCCTCACTGTTCACCTGAAAACCATGTGATCCCCCCTCAAAATTCCGCTGGCAATAAAATGATAAGTGGTCGCTTTTGTCACGGTCTGCCATTCATTTCCTGTGATTTTAGCTTTCGTGTCTGGCCTTCACTTTAACACTTGAACTTATTCAAAATTGTCATCTACCAGACAATCTGTTGATGAAATGTTAAAGGAGAAGAGAGTTAACGTCCATGTCGTAAATGATCTCGCGACAAACAGTAACACTGATTTGATGTACACCATTTTTACTCTCCTACTCACGAGTAACTCCGATCTCGCAATCAATCAACCCAAATCACCTATTATATTTCCGTACTTCCGTCACGAACCTATCAAAAAATTCAATGCAGCGCTTCATTGACGACCGCCACTTGTGACAGTGCAAGTAATAAATCTCCCAAGAAAGACAGATTTTCCTTTGATTAACTACAAAACAAAGAGATGCGTAATTTTGATTAATTGACCCACTTTATTTTTAGTCGTGGATACGCGAAGCATAGGAAGCATTATCAGGAGTAGGAGTCAGAATATGCAAATTTGTCACTCGTCTCAGATGTAAACAAGTCGATATGTAAACGGCAGACCAATTGCTATTGACTTTCCGAGATAATACTGGAACGCGTCTGTCGACTTTCCGAAGTAACTGCCGCGACGTTGAAATAGAATTCGACTTTCCTTCGAGAAAGTTTCGACTAATACTCGTCGCAGTAAGCACACGGTAGTAAGCTGTGTAGACGCTGGATGCGAAGAGTCTTTGATCCCTCGAGACGTCTGCTCGTCGATCCTCCAAGCTTACATTGGATTCATAGATGGTGAACCTTTTACGAGTGAATCTTACGAGCGAAACTTTGATCGAACTCACGAGGGAACCTATGAGCACTCGTATCAGCTAAGGTATAAATCAGCCATAAGGTTAAACAAAGCCATTAGAAACACGAGTGGCACAACTGATCAGTCCATAACATCCAACCAAAACACTCTTGTGGCCAAGTAGAACGAAACGCAGTCAGAAGACTGATCTGATGGTAACAGAAATATACAGGAACGAAGAAGTAGGTCAAAGTCCAATCGTATTAGCAAAGGCGTCCTTCGTGATGGTGAACCATCGATATTACCGTGGAAGAAAATCCTGAACTTATTTAATAAGAGTAAAGCAAATAAGAGGTATGAAGGTCTCGTATTGTGCAAAGTGCACCACATTCGCCACCGTTGAAAACGATTTTATGGTTTGATTACCGTAATTATCAATAAAACCAGAATGGGTAGAAGGAAACCAGTTGGAATCACTCGTGCAAAAGGTTTAAGGTTGTATTTTGCTCTTGATTATGTTTATGTTTTCAAAACAAGAACTGCAAAGCATAAAAAGACGTGAAGTATCCGTTGTTTTTCGTGATGAATTTGTACATGTTGTTCAATGTTATTCAATAAAGTGTAAGAAACGAAATCACAAGTATTTTGTCTCAAGGACAAAGTTACTTACTTCAGGTGATATGGAGTTGAGCTCGGGACCTGTTACTCAGGGAAATAATCCAAACAATCTTAATTAATTTCAATCTGGATTAGTTCAACATGGCCTGAGAATATCAGATGTTGGTGGTGCAGGCGGTTGCTCCTTTAGAGTTGTATCCCATCAGTTGTATGGTGAACCTAACTATCACATGAATGTTCGTATTACTGGTGTTCAATAAACAATCCAGAAAGATTCATCAGAAGTAGTACAGACCATTATTGGTCAAGGTATTTAGCCAACATGTCACACCAGGGTACATGGGCTAATGCACTTGTCAAACAAGAATGGAGCAAGTTACTTATTCACAACCTGAAGCACGTTCATACAAATTTTACATACAGGATTTTACTTATCTTCAAAAGTCATTCAAACGTAATGTACCTGATTTATTCACAGTTTCCTTTGATGTCGCATTTGATCATTTCTTGTGAACACATAAAATAATGCCTTTCTAGTACCCCCTAGAGTCATCAAAATATCTGCACAAAAGACAGATCCTGATTGGGTTATAGATCTTATAACAACAGAGGAACTTTAGGGACAAAACTATGCTTAGTGGGGTAGGTAGGGGGGGGGGAAAGCATCTCTCACACAAGTCCACCCCAGGGCACGGGGGGTTACAGGCAGTTCAGGTGTCAATGGGAGCAGAACAACAAGTTTCTTGTATAGCTGCATGACAACTAAGCTTAATCAAATGGAAAATCTGGTTACATGCATTTTTCCCACACTCTACCAACTGAATTTGAATGATTAACCCCAATCAGGTAAATGTAGCCTGTTTGGCAAGGTTCTTAACCCTTTAACTCCTACACCAAATTTGTAATTCTCCTTACTGTCAACCATATAACTGTTATAATGTTAGTTCAGACAATTGAGTATTGGATCAACTAATTATCCCCAAATTGATATTTTTCTTTATTCTCATCACTTGTCTGGTTGATATTGTATTGACATTGTAAGGAGAAATTCTGTCTTGGTCACTCATGGGAGTTAAAAGGTTAAGAGGGGAATAGGGGTGAATGGGAAAAAAACCACTCTATTTTCTACAGTGCCTTTTTATAGTCTGTTTGTGACTGACAAAACCCCTAACAGTTCACCTGAAAACCATGTAATCCCCCAAAATAACCACCAACCCCCCTCTCTTAATGATAAAATGATAACTGGTTTCTTATTGTCAAGGTCTGCTATTTATTTCCTGTAATTTAAGTGTTCATGTCTGGCCCTAACTTAACTCTTTAACACCCAAGATCTCATTAGTGATTCTCTTTACTGTCTGCCATACAGTTCTTGTTATGTTAGTTTGGAGAATTTGGTATTAGATCAAGTTATAATTTCCTAATTGATATTTTTCTTCACTCTCATCACTTGTCTGCTTGATATTGCAAGGAGAAATTCTGTCTTGGGCACTCATGGGAGTTAAACGGTTTAACACTTGATGTTATTCAAAATTGTCATCTACCAGACAATCTGTAAACAAAATGTAAAAGGAGGAGTAGCATAGTGGCCACTTGTGATAGTAAAAGTGACAAATCTCCCGAGAAAAACAGATTTTCTTTGAGTGACTAAATTACAAAGAGAAACATGATTTTGATTCATTAAGACACTTTTATTTTCCTTTCATTTAATAGGTAAAGCAAAAACTCACATTTCAAAATCCCCAATACTGAAATTAAAGCATGATCATTGCTTTATGTCACATGCAGCTTTTTCCTTGAGTAGAGTGGTTCAGTGTCTTTATTGAATGAAGATGTATCCAAATTCCTTGATATTTTTGTCTCTGTTGTCTGCACTCCACAAAGCTCTGTTTCCACACACATTTTCGTATCCTGATCCTCCTTCACCAGATCTGATTCTGGAATAAGGGGAACTGCAATCATCTTGTTCGTTTCCACACACATTTTCGTATCCTGATCCTCCTTCACCAGATCTGATTCTGGAATAAGGGGAACTGCAATCATCTTGTTCGTTGCCAATGACATCCATTTGTACCCTGCTGAATCCATTACCTGCTACATGTGAATTGAACCCTTCTTGAATACATCATTGCTGCAGAGAGGCATCAGGACAATCAGCCTATTCCATGCATCCCAATCTAGCGAGGTAGCATGGTATTGACCATCAGCAATGAGGGCATACAGTGGAACTGCTTCCTGACCCAATTGCAAGAACCTCGTTACCCCATCAAACTTCGTGCCAAGGCATATCTTGGTGAAGGAAGTGCTTCAGTAGGTTGGTAACAGGGTCTTCAAGTGATCCAATCTGATGACTCCATTTTTGAGAGACTGAAGACCTGAAGGTAACTGAAGGTTTCCTGCAAGATAAGGAAATTTTCAACTTAGTATCCATTGCATTGGTATTACTTCACTTTGTTTTATGAGTGGTCCAACTAACTTGCACTAATCTCTCACCTGGTCAGATGTGATACTTAACCCAATCATGATTTAACCCTTAAACCACTAAGAGCTGACTAGCATCTAATTTCTCCCAACATTATCAACCCTGAATCACCAGGAAGGTCAAGAGAGTAAAAGAAATGATCCCCTACTGAAGAAGCTCTTGATTGCTAAACAAATGATTCTTGTATATACCGGTATATAGCACAGTATGGAGAATGTACATTATGATCAGATGTTAGGGCGTAAAGGCTAATCACTCAAGCCTTCCTGCTCTTTGAAAAGAAGTCTTTGTTTGTGTTTTCAATTGGAGTTATTATTTAGTTATTGTGATTGTCTTTTGTGATTACTTTAAATACTCAATCGAAATGCGTGCTACATTTAAGAGTCACTCTCGTCTAAGTCACTGAAGGCTGAGTCATGAACATAAACAAGTTTTAGAAGACATTCTTGTTTATAAAAAGTTCCATATAAAGTGCCACAATATCTTTACTGTATCATATCTAGCTAGGATTACTTAATGTGATCTCCTCTAGAACAAAAACTGACTCAAAAGAAGCACTATGAAACAAACAGGAGTAGGCAAAATTAGAGAGAAAATCAACAACTTAAAAAACAATGCCACCATTAGGAACCACTCAATATTCACATCAGGTGCCAGTGGGGGGGGGGGTTGTTTCACAATATTACAGAGCCCTTGAGGTGGGGGGGGGAGAAAGAGAATCAGGCAAATTTTATTGGATACAACAAAAACTGTCCCACCCCCCTCCCCCTCCTGGGCGATAAAGAGTGAATATTCTATTAGTTAACCCTTGCACTCCCAAGATCTAATTAGTAATTCTCCTTACTATTTGCCATACAATTCTTATGATGTTAGTTCAGAGAATTTGGTATTGGATCAACTAATAATCCCATGATTGATATTCTTCTCTATTCTCATCACCTGCCTGCTTGATATTGTATTGATATTGTAAGGAGAAATTCTTTCTTGGTCACTTGTGGGAGTGAAAGGGTTAATGGCATTTTGGAGCCCTCAACATGTTTGGATTATCTGTTTGTCTTTGATCTTCATGACCAGCGTCCATCCTCCACCAACGCAGTCTCCAAACTCTTTTCATTCATGGAACAGTAAACAGACAGATCTTCATTGCCTAATGTCAGGGTATAGGCCTCGCTTGGGCTGCCACTGAGAAGAGAAGATCAGTGTGCCATGTCTGTTGACTCCTTTGCAGTAGTTATTTCGAATGTCACGCAACACATGGTGTCCTGCAAGATAAGAAAATTTTCAACTTAGTATCCATTACATTGGTATCACTTCACTTTGGTCTATAAGTGGTCCAGCAAGCTCGCACCAATATCTCACCCTGTCAGATGCTATACTTCATTAACCCAACGGTGACAACCCTTTAACCACTTAGAGCTGACCAGCATCTTATTTCTCCCTACACTATCAACCTTGAATCAAACGGGAAGATCACGAGGGTAAAGGAAATAATCACCAACTGAAGAAGCTCTCGATTGCCAAACAAATTATTCTTGTACATATAGAACAGTATAGAGAATGTACATTATGATGTTGGAGTGTGGAAGGTTAATCACTCAAGCCTTACAGCTCTTTTAAAAGTAGGCTTTGTTTTTGTTTTCATTTGGAGTTATTATTTAGTCATTGTGATTGTCTTTTATGATTACTTTAAATATTGAACTTAAATGCATGCTACATTTAAGAGTCACTCTTATCTCAAAGTCACAAAAGGCTGAGCCATGAATTTAAGAAAATCTCAGAGGATGTCCTTGTTTATAAAAAGAGCCACAACATCTTAACTGTATTAAGACTAAGAAAGCATTTTGACTAACTGCATTATATCTAGGACGGCTTAATGTGATCTCCTCCCAAACAAAACAAAAACTGACTCAAAAGAGGCACTATGAGTGGGCATAATTAGAGGGAAGACAAATTTAGTACAAAAAAACAAAAAAAAAAACTATGCCCCCATTTGGGACCAGTCACAATTTATCACCTAGAGTTTGCTTTAAAAATTGAAAGCAATGTGTGGGGAATTTAATGGATTCTTTATTATAAAAAAAATAGAGAAGCCTTGACAGTGCTCTGTTCTATTGTAAAGCACTTAACCCTTTAACTCCCATGAGTGACCAAGACAGAATTTCTCCTTATAATATCTTTACAACATCAAGTAGACATGTGACAAGAACAAAGAAAAATATCAATTAGTGGATTATAAGTTGATACAATACCAAATTCTCAAAACTGACATCACAAGAACTTAATGGCAGATAGTAAGGAGAATTAATAGTGAGATCTTGGGAGTTAAAGGGTTATGAAGCGGCTTGAGCACTCAAGCACTTCTTTCATACTCTAGCCGCTTCCTACATGCTTTACAACAACTGTTTCTTCCGTAAAATACCCACCAGCTCTCAATCCTTTGGTTCACCAGAGATGACCCATACTTGTGCGCTTCTGCATCTTGTTGAAATGTACATTGTAAAGCTGCTCTTACACCGTTTTCTGTTCCACAGTCAGTCCTCAGTTTCACTGGACAGCCTTCTGACCCTGCAACACAGTTCAAATAGAAATTGGCAATAATTTCTGGATGGTTGTTCGACTTTGTGACTGTTAGCCACATTATTTTTCGACTCCATCCATCAATACAACCACGTATTGGAGATCTTGGGCCACTAAGTTCATTTATGATTTGTTCCTAGACAACGTTCATGTCAAAATATGGCCATCTTCTCCTCAAAGTTCAAATGCTTCAACTTACAACCTGTATTTTTCAATATTCGTAAACCCATCGTAACGCCATCACACTTGGCTAAAAATTCAGCTATAACTTCATACGTATATCCTCTTGAAAACTAATGTGAAATTATACTTTCTTCTTCTAGATGATCGCTTACTGAACTAGAAGAAGCCACTTTAGCTCAATTCCTCAATGTGAACGGTACAAAAATGGCGCCTTAATTAGCAGCTTGTAGCCAGAGCTAGTCCCAGGTTCCGGTCGCTTTCAGCGACAGTCTTCACCAGTACTTTGAAATTTTAATTTTGGTTTGATTTAGCTTGCTTTTGTGTACCAGAAAAATTCCTTGTGCTCTGGAAAAGATTGTTGTGTTTTAGAAGATTTCGTTGTGTTCTGGAAAAGATTGTTGCGTTTTAGAAAATTTCGTTGTGTTCTCGAAAACATTGTTGTGTTTCATTAGAGAAATTGAGTTGTGTTTTTGCCCCAATAGGCCACCTTACTGAAGAGGAGAGATCAACTTAGAGATCAGCCTAAGCAATCAATCATAAGTAGATAAATGGGGGTATTCCAAACCGACATTTTAACGATCAACTTATCCAGCCGAAATTCCAAACCGTCAGACAACCTGAAAGCGATGATGAAAAGTTAATGTAGACGACAGAAACGATCTTCTAACCCTACCCACTATGCAGTCCTGTTTCTTTTTTATCAAGACCTCAAGATCTGACAACTTGCCCATTATTTGTTTGTAATTTTTCTTTCTCTCACTTGCATCAGCACCAATGGCTAGATAAACCAAAAGGACTACTGCACAAAATTTCATAGCTGCCGTGTAACTGTCTTGAGTACCCCCTGATTTCAGTGAGTCTTGACGATAACTGAGGAATTTTGCAAACACCATCCTATCAAACCTTGAAACGCCCATGACATTCCTTACAATTTCTCCTTACATGACTACATACTCCATTCTTATGCTTTGCTGGGAGAATTGCTACCTTCATCAGACCAATCTTGATGGACTATTTTTATGAATTTGCTACAACCAACTGACCAACAGCAACCAACAGTGGCTGAGGTGTGAAAGGGTACAAGCCTGACCACCAGTCCTGTAATCCAGGCTGTCAAACAAGATGAATAGGACAAGCCCCTTCCAGCCTCATCGAAGACTGCCAGTAAGACAAGGGGTCCAATTACATACCCTCCCCACCCCTTGAGCTTTCTACAGAGAGCCATTTGCAACCCACCCTTGGATAGGTTAGTGGCTGAGCTGCATGCGGGGCACGACCCTTGACGTTAAGCCCTCTACATTTTTATCGGCAAGTCTGGCTTGATGGCGGGTGATGCTCCTAACCTTAGCCATCAGTGTTTTGCGGCCTCTCCTAAGCCTACTGCTTTGGAATTTCAACCACCCTCCAACTACAGGGTATCTCTCAAAGAGGGATACCCATTGCAGTGGCTTACACGCCTAGAAATGCCATTTTTTGTACATAACTTTATCATACTATCTTGAATGGGGAGTTTTTCTGTACGAATCTTTGCCCCACCGAATTTTGAAAACGTTACTGGAATTGGTATACATACTTCATTTGAAGAAATGACACTATCATATTCTCTGTTACAGGTCAGTTCCTGAGACGTTTTTTCTTTTGACTGAACGAGTTTTGTAAAATGTCTTCGGAATACGTCGATATTAGATATATTGGTTATACCACGGTTATATAAACTCTTGATTTATCTTTTTTCATATTGGGTCGACCCGGCTTATCTTCCAAATCGGCTCTCTTAATCCCCACGGTATCAACTAGCGCTTTTCATTCAACTAATTTATTCTTGTTTTCTCGTCACCAGACTCCCAGCAATAGCGTAGCTCCTAAACGCAACCCACAATTCCTTCAATCGATCTGACGAAGGGCTAACGCTCGACAGGTCACCTTTTTCACTATTTACGGTGGCCAATTTACGTTTTTAACTCAGTTGTTAACACTAAATTACAGCCACGTAACAGTTTAGCTATAATATCTTTTTTTTACGTTATTCATGAATCCCTTCCAATGTCACACGTGTCTCAAGAGTTTCGATGAACTGAAAATACTTGAGAAGAAAATTTCCGACAAGCATTGCTACGGTACAGATGGGGATTTCATATCCTTGTTTCGCTCTGGCATTCCTTTATCGAAGGTCATCGATAAATTCAAAACCATGCTTAAGGCAGGCATGCTGAAAGGAGAAGTTCAAGATCGACCAGGAAAACCAAAAAGGTTGATTTACTATTGTCCCTTTGATTTCGTAGTGGGAACGTATCAGGTTCGAGGTCGAAGGGGGAGATTCAAACATCATGAAACCCGTTTGGTGAAAGTCGTCTGTGGGACCTCAAAGTGCAGCAATCGTTTTTGTCAAGTTGGTCTTGTGCCCAGAGTGGCAATAACAATGTATCCTTGTAAAGACCGCAAGTAAAGACTCTCACTGACAAAAAAGCTTATGGAAAGTTCTGGCATAAATGAAGAGCTATCTATTATGGTTATAAAGTGGAAAAGCCAGTCAAAACGATGTAGCTTAATGTAAATCCGTAAGAACGTTTTTTTAACGACATGATTCAGGTGTGTAGGTGTTTCGAACTCTGAACTGCTTGAACTCTATTGAGAAGTCATCTGGCCAAACTGACTGAAGTCCCATGTCCCAAAGTAGAAGTAGAATGTTAGAAGTAGAATGGATGTGATGTTTTATTATAGGAGATAACATGTGGTGCTATGGAATTTAATCAATAAAATGACGATAGAAGTTGGTCTTAAATTCGATATGTGTATGTTTGACATCATGTTGAATCACAGCTATTTTCCTATTATGAAATATGTACAACATGCAGCGTATAGAGAATTATGCTCGAAAATTATTTCTATCCCTCCTATGATCCTAATTAAGCTTTCCTAACAATGTTGGAGAGTAGACGTTTTGGAAATTAAGAACACAATCATGTTCTGCAAGTCCATTTCTAACTAAATCAGAGCACTGTGGTATAACTGATATACTTAATCTCGACGTATTCCAAAGACATTTCGTAAAACTCGTTCAGTCAAAAAAACGTTTCAGGAACTGACCTGTAACAGAGAATATGATAATGTCATTTCTTCAAATGAAGTATATGTATTGCAATTGCAGTAACATTTTCAAATTCGGTGGGGCAAAGATTCGTACAGAAAAACTCCCCATTCAAGATAGTATGATAAAGTTAGGTACAAAAAATGGCATTTCTAGACGAGTAAGCAGGCTTGTTTTAACTCTCTCCCTATTGCTTCACTTTTAAAGCCACTAAGGTTAGGAGCATCACTCGTTATCAAGCCAGACTTGCCGATAGAAATGTAGAGGGCTTAACGTCAAGGGTATTGCCCCGCATGCAGCTTAGCCACTAACCTATCCAAGGGTGGGTTGCAAATGGCTCTCTGTGGAAAGCCCAAGGGGTGGGAAGGGTATGCTGTTGGACCCCTTGTCTTACTGGCAGTCTTCGATGAAGCTGGAAGGGGCTTGTCTTATTCATCTTGTTTGACAGCCTGCATGGTGGCCAGGTTTGTACCCTTTCACACCTCAGCCACTTTTGGTTGCTGTTGGTCAGTTGGTTGTAGCAAATCCATAAAAATAGCCTATTAAGATTGGTCTGATGAAGGTAGAAATCCTCTCAACAAAGCATAAGGATGGAGTATGCAGTCATGTAAGGAGAAATTGTAGGGAATGTCAAAGGCGTTTCAAGGGTTGATAGGATGGGGTTTGCAGTATTCCTCAATTATTGTCGAGACTCACTGAAATCAGTGGGCAGTCAAGATAGTTGCAAGGCAGCTATGAAATTTTGCGCAGTGGTCTTTTTGGTTTATCTAGCCATTGCTACTAATGCAAGTAAGAGAAAGAAAGTTTGCAAACAAATGATGGGCAAGCTGTCAAATCTTGAGGTCTTGATAAAAAAGAAACAGGGCTGCTGTAGAGTGAGTAGAGTTTTTGTTCCTCTACAGAGTCGAATAAAAATATTACGCACTATTAGTACGCATGACCTTCGAAACGCAAGTTTAGATGAAGTGTTTTAGTTTAAAATTTCTGGGAAACTGAACTACTTCTTTAAGACCCGTTCTTCCCGAGCAAAAATATAAACAATGCCAAAAAATACTTTCGTCATCGTGCTAACGGTTTCGAAGGACGCATCCACTCGACCAGATATGCTTCAAAGTTCGCTCAAAGGACATCGTACGCAAGCTTGTTTTAGGAAATACCTCCAGAAATACCGTCAATACTTATTTCAGCGTTACATTCGGCCTACAGCTCTTGCTTGATCAAAAGCATGTGTATGGAGCCCGTCAACACTTTTATGAGAGGGAATCGTCAAAGTTCAAATTCTGATTAATGGGCTATTTCAAAGCACAAGTCCTGCAAAAAATTAGAATGCATTGTGGGATTAGCAGATCCACACGCCAAACCAGCAGTTTAAAAGGCCATTTTACAGTTGTGCACTTAGATGCCAAGCCTTCGATTTGGAGTGAGGCTAAAGTTGACCATGTTGCGATAGAGACCAATTTCTACTCAACATGATAACCAAAGTAGTTTACATTTGTCAAAGGCTTAAAAACCAGGCACGTAACAAATGAATAAATGGGCTAAGTTTCTAAAGAAACTGTGGTGCTGCGTCGGTGGGAGAGTATAGCAGGTAATTTAGTGTTGACAACTGAGTTGAAAACGTATGATTCACCTCCTCGTAATTCTCTGTGCGCGTCTTTAGTGTGTGCTTGAAGAGAATATCTAAACACAGACAATGATGACGAACCGCGCATCATTCTAATTTTGGGAGACATTACAAAAAACGGAATTTAATTTTAGAATGTAACGACTGATAAGAAATTTGACCTGAACAATGAGGAATTATTCTCTTATTCTATTTTCTGATTGCCGATCCAAAGGCTGAAGCGAATTCACGTCAAATTATTTCTATTTCGAGTAAAGGTACCTTTGGAAAGTATTACAAACCGATATTAATAAAATAACTTTTTGTAATCGTTGGTATGGTTTTGAATAAGATATGGCAGAAAACTGACTTATTTTGAATTTTCTTAGTCAAGGAGGTAAAGGGTTTCACACAGTTTAACTGCTCATTTCTAGCAAGGCGAGGAAAAATTTTGTCTGCACTCCGCCCGGACAAACTAATACTCTCACTATGCAAGGCAGACAGTGCTATTTTTTTAATTGAATAAAATAAAGAAAATATCTAAAAACGATCAAATAATATTTTTTCGACATGGCACCAGGAGTTTCAATGTAAAGGTGAGTGTTGGTGTCGACTAGGAGTGGATGCGAAAGACAGTCTGGTAATTGTTAAAGTTACAAGTTACCACTTCAAACTAATAAACATTCTGATTGTAATCTATGAGAATAAATTTCTAAAGGTGGTTCAGATTGAGTTACACCATACTTGTTTGTTTTAGTTTGACTCCTTAAACAACTCGGTCTAATGCTGCTTACATTAAGCACCACACTGTTGTGAACCAATGCGGCGCTTATTCAGTCAACCCAATGAATGGGCCAGCAGCCTCAATCGGTTCTAGTGGCCCAACTGCCTCAAATGAGCTAGTCAGTTCCAGTGACCCAACTGCCTCATAGGACCCAACCAGCTCAAATGACTGAATTATCTTTAATGACTCAATCGGTTCCAGTGACCTAACTGCCTCAAATGAACCAACTAGGTCAGATGACTGATTTGCCTCAAATGACCCCACCAGCTCAAATGACTGATTTGCCCTAAATGACCCAACCAGCTCAAATGACTGAATTGCCTTAAATGACCCAATTGGTTCCAATGATCCATCTGCTTCAAGTGACCTAACCAGTTCAAATGGCTGAATTACTGAATTCCCACAAATGACCCATTGGATTCCAGTAACCCAACTGCTTCAAATAAGCTAATCAGTTCCAGTGGACCAACTACCTTAAATAACCCAACCAGCTCAGATGACTGAATTGCCTCAAATGACCCAATCAGTTCCGGTGACCCAACTACCTCAAATGACCCAACAAACTCAAAAGACTTAATTGACACAAATGACACCAACTGAATGAAACAGCACAACCTGGCAGCGCTTGTGCGCTCACGAAAACTACAGGAAAACATTCAGGTAACCAGTGCAAGCTGTTCACCTCCGTTTCCATAAAGCAGGAAAACAATAGACGAACAACACGTTTTCATGGCCTTTCATGGCCTGTGTTGGTAATTCTGTGTGAAAACGCTCGAAAAATGCAGCGTCGCGCGCACGGGAAAACTATAGATAAACGTTCAAAAAACAGGCTCTTCATCGGCAATATCCCGGTGCAGGGTAACATGCGATGAACTTCGTGTTTTTCTTGAGTTTTACTGAGGGTGAACAGCGAATTTGCCATCTGTTTTCAAATATCAGAAAACGTTGGTGTAATGTTGAATTTTTCAGTCTTTCACCATTTCGGAAAATTAGCGGTGAACGAGAGTTTTTGTGCTGTATTTCTCGGAAATTATCGGTCGCCTCAGCAAGGGGCAGGGACCTTGCACTCGTTTGCTCGTAGTAGCGACTAAAAGCTCTCTTCCCTAAAATTTTTTAAAACAAATTAAAAAGAAATTTTCAAAGTCAATTAGCGGGCGACATGCACCACATAAATGTTTGCTATTTCTTTTAAAATTCAAGCTTCTACATTTCCTTTAAAAATTTAAATTTTTACATTTCTTTTAAAAAATTTAAACCTCTACATTATGATTTGCTGAGAGAAATCCAGTTGGCATGTAACACAATGCAGAAGAAATAAAGGTTACACAGAGAAAAAAAATATTTGATTTCAGTGTATGCACAACCTCGGAAAATTCCTCCACTAAACACTAAAGTAATAATTGGAGTAGCTTCACATTCCTAAACAAGTTCTAATACTAAGTTAGGAAGTTTGGGAGAAATACTCAGTGTAAATTCTGCGAAAATATCTGGCTGTCGAGCGTGTAGTCCATTTGACTTCATGTTTTCTCAACACGAATTTTTGTTGAATCGTGGCTACTTTGACATACCTGAATTGAATATCGAAACGTCATCATTTAAAGCAGTCTTTGCACTCCGCCTCATTGTCCTGGTGGAGAGTGGACTTTAAAACCTATATCACTTTCTGATGAAATCAGTTATATTTTTCTGGAAAATTAAAAACGAATTTCGTGGGATGATGGCAAATTTTGTGCCGGACTCGTACTTTGGAATAGCCCAATAATCAGAATTTGAACTACTGATGATTTCCGCGCATTATTCTCATTTTTGGGAGAAGTTACTAAAACGGTATTTCAATGCTAGAATGTAATGACTGATAAAAAAGTTGACCTGAGCAATGGTGAATTATTCTCATATTCTATTTCCTGATTTTCGATCCAAAGGCTGAAGCGAATTCAAATCTGAGTATTTCTATGTCGAGTTAAGATACCGTTGGGGAGTATTACTAGCCGATATTAATAAAATCACTTCTTTTAATTGTTAGCATATGGCAGAAAACTGACCACTGTTGAAGTTTCTCAGTCAAGTAGGTAAAGGCTTTCACACATGTTTTACTGATCATTTCCAGACAAAGAAACACTCTCTTTGTGCAAGGTAATGACTAATTAGAGCTTTTCCTGGTCGATCTTAAAATCCAAGAGATTCTTTACTAGACCTTGTTATTTTCATATTTGGATAAACTAAAGAAAATTTTCCAGAAAGGATCAAATAATATATTTTCGACATGGCACCAGGAATTTTAATATAAAGGTAAGTGCTGGTGCTGGCTAGAAGTGTATGTGGAAGACTGCTTGTTAACGGTGAAAGTCACAACATTTAAGTTTCTTGGAAATTGTTGGTCGCCTCAGCAAGACGCAGGGACCTTGCAATCGTTTGTTCGAAGTATCGACTAAACGCTTTTTTCTATAACATTTTTGAAACAAATCTTAGAGAAATTTTCAAAGTCAATTAGCGCGCGACATGCACCACATAAATGTTTACTATTCTTTATAAATTCAAACTTCTACATTTCCTATAAAAATTTAAACCTCTACATTATGATTTGCTGAAACAAATGCAGTTTGCATGAAACACAATGCAGAAGAAATAAAGGCAATACAGAGCAAAAAATGTTTGATCTCAGTGTATGCACAACCCGGAAAATTCGTCCACTAAACACCAAAGTAATTATTGGATTAGCTTCACATTTCCAAACAAAGTTCTAATACTAAGTTAGGAAGATTGAGAGCAATACTCAGTGTAAATTCTGCGAAAATTTCTGACCGCCGAGCGCGTAGTCTATTTAAAACCGCGCGCCTGCCTAGTTTGCATTTTATTTGCAGAATCATGATCATGCAAATCTGTCTCCCAAGCCGTCCACCGAAATATAAAGGATGAGGAAAGACAAGAGTTAGAGGAGTTATCCCATCTTGTCAATATTTGTCTACTTTGGGATCATATACACAAGCTTTTTTAAATTATTTTGCATAGATCTCCTCGGTCTTTAAAAACTGAATTACTCGTGTTTATCTCATTCAAACTGCACTGGCTGCACTGCACAAAAAAATAAAGGAAAAAAAACTATTGCATAAGAAAAAAAAATGACGTTAAACTTGATTTCATGTTTTCTCAACACGAATTTCTCCTGAATCGTGGCTACTTTGACATACCTGAATTGAATATCGGAACTTCTTCATTTAAATTAAAGCAGTCTTCGCTCAGGTCATCGTGAAACGTTAACGACAGATGAAAAAGAAGCCGGCGTTGACAACGTCACTGCTTCTGAAACCCTAAATTAAAGAAGAAGAAAAACAAGTGAAAAGTTTTGCAAAGTATTTAACTTGACCAACTTTGAGTTAAAGCAGTGCAGGATCTCATAGAACTGATTTTACATAAACACACTTGACGGGAGATTACAGTTTGGTAAGAAACTTATAGTAGAGAAATAAAGCTCCAGTCCTGTTTAGACAAATGTTTATGAGTCTTGCCCAAACATGTCGAAAGATCCTTTTAAGGTTTAATATAGGTTTAATCGAGTGTCCCCAATTAGTGCCTTGGCGCTAGAACGACTAGACACAGAAATAAAGACTATGTATATGTGTATATTTGTGATGGAAATAGACTAAGTTCGTAAAACTCATTCGTTAAGTGCCTGTGAGTTTGTCACTAATAACAAATGAGAAGAACAATTAAGAACAGTCGTGAACATCTATTGCAAGACATTTTCACCGCCGAACTTTCTCAGAGATTTCAATCAACCGATATTGCAAAGGGTAATGATATTTGTCGGGTGGTGGTGACTGTAAAGTCACAAAAATCAGCGAGAATATGTCGTGGGTGTAATGTTCTCGTGACCCCGCACGAGTGATTCACGCTCAAATGTACTGGACTGTTGATAACATGTGGGAGCCAAAAACATTATGTGGAACCAAAAGGTCATGAAGGTGCACACATAAGTGTAGTGCTTCTGAATGTATTCGCCTTTTTGCTGATTTTTGTGACTTTAATGTCACCACCACCCGACGAAAATCATTACTGTTTGTAGCATCGGTTGATTGGGAATTTTCACGAGGGAAACTCATCGGTGAATATGTATTTGAATAAATATTCACAACGGCTCTTAATTTTTCTTATCATTAGCCTTTAGTGGCAAACTCATTAGCGTCTACCGAACGGGTTATACGAATTCCCTCTATTGTTTAAAATTATTTATCATGTAAACTACGGTGTTAGACAAGGATTTCCAGCCCTGAGAAAAGCTTTAATAACAGACGTGAAAAAAATACGATGTTTTTTCACGAGTGTTTAATATCGCCAATCAGCTGTTGACACGTCACTCGCCTTTTGCGCCTCTCGGTCAGGTTGGTGAATGAACGGCAACGCCTTCACCAATCTCAATCCAAGGTCGTTTTTATTTTCGATTATGGCTGCTAAAGGAATGAAAAATCCGTGTCACTTACAGGTAGTGACGTTTAAACTTTCCTAGAAGGGGAAGAAAACCAAAATACGAAAAGAAAAACCGAAAGTTACGTATTGAGTGGCTTTGGTGATGGGATTTCTCGCGGCTGAGAACGAAAATCGACAACCAGAAGATATGCCACAGGCCGGTTTTGGCCGTGTACCTGAAAGATTTCTTCTGTCGGTAAGGACCAATTCATAACTGAGAATTTTTATTTTGAAAATTAGGCCCATTGTTTGTTTTTGAAGTGATTCAACACTCAACGATTTTTATTCGGGGATTGCCTATCCTTTTATTTTCAATCATACTGAAGTACACTTTTCTTGTCAGCAAAGGGCTATTTTGTTTATATGATAAACAAAATAATATACGGTTGCTTGTAGAAATGAAATTTCTCTTCTCGCGTTCAACTTGACATTTCGCTCGTTCGCTGCGCTTACTTGCGAGCTATCGAGTTAAACGTTCGAAGAGAAATTCCATATCTACGTGCATCCATATATTATTCTCTACTTGATTGTCATCATTGCATTACTGCAAGCAAATCAAGAACTGATTTTCATCTCTTCGCAAATTCGCGTTATTTTCGTGAGAAAGCACCACAATGTACCTGAACCACAGGAAGGATGTAGGGCTCGTTGAGAAGGTCGTTGTACTTCAGATGAAAAGATTCACGCTTAGTTAAGCCCCGGCCAGAGTCATTGTGTAAAGTTCTCTGTCCACGTAAAATTCTCAACCAGCGAAGTCACTTTCGCTTTTGGAAATACAGATTTTGAAAGCAAACCGTTGACATAGACAACCTGAACAGCCACTAATTTGGTTATCAGAAATTAGAAGTAGATCTGTCTCGATTGTGCTCTTAAAATGTCAGAAAGTTGCTCAATGGAAAGCCAAAAATTACTTAAAAATTGCCAAAAAATCCAAAAAGGCTGCTACCTAAATTTCAAAGCTGCTACCTAAATTCCTGATATTTTCAGATAAACGTTAATGAAAAGCTATATTCTTCGTTATTCGCATTAACAAACTTAGCTTTAAGTAGTTGCTCACACGTAAAGGTAGTTTCTAACCATCCGTTTCTGTTTATGGAAATGAATGAACAAAGACAGCCATCTTGTCATCTTTGCCGTCGTTTTAGCCGATTACCCGTTCTAATATTAGACAATAGGCCGCCGAAACATTTAAGAAATTGCATAGATCGATCTAATTTTTTTCAGGAAATCGTTGACTTTATCGTGCTTGATGTGTGTTCTAAGTCTAAAAGTTGCCAAAAAAATTGCCCAAGGTTGTTAGAATCACAAAAAGTTTCTCCCAACGCAATACGTTGCTCAAAAGTCGCCGAGAACAATCCGGACAGGCCTTATCAGAAGGCCGGAAGCAGGAATATGTGAAACTCTAGGGCTCAGCTAACACTTGCCGCTTGGTGATTTGAAAGAAGAGCAAAATTGTAATTTTTCTCATTTTTCAATTAGCCCAAAGTGAAAATTCGGTCCGGTTTTGTCAAATATGCAAAACCGGAAATTCTGAATCTAAGTCAATATTTAATCAGAAGCAAAAAAAAAATTTTTTTAATTTCAATTTTTCATTGTCAACGTTTAAAAAATCAAACAAATTTTCTGTGAAAAAAGATTAAGTTATGACTTATTTGTTCTTCCTATTTTCTTCTGTGACTGTTTTAATGCTGCTCAGGCTTCAGTTAATTCTTGCATTAGATTTATGAACTTGCGAAGAATCTTGGGAAATGATTTTTATTATCAGCTCATCCCCTCTAAACAATTCCGTTGCCAAGTTCTCTAACTATTTTTTAGGTCACTGCTATCGTTTTAAGTCAAGGCTTTAAGTTATGATTTATTAAGCAGTAAGGTAGTCCTTAGGTAAATCCGAGAATTCTGATTGTTCCTTACTTGGTCCGTACTCTGTCATACGGACCGTCTCCGGTTATAAGCCATGTCCTTTAGGTCGCAGAAGTCAGCAAATTTGAAATAAACAAGGTTGGTCTGAGTGGCATAAAATGAACTACCAACTAATAAAATCGCCACCTTCGCTTGCTCGAATCGTACTTGAGAATATTGGCCCTCTTTCGTTTCTGTTCAGACCTCGCTATGCTCGGTCTGTACTGTCAAGAAATCTGACCAAAGTTCCTCGGTGAGGCACTTACGCTCGGTTGGTAAGGAGTTAATCTTTATGAAATGATATACCAGATTGTGCAAAATCCTTATTGCACATTTGGAATAAGGTGATGGCTTCTACGGCTAACGGTTAAAAATTTGGCCAAATCACTGCTAATACTTAATTTCCTTGAGTTTTTTTTTTTTTTGGCCAGAAAACATTTTTACGGTTAACTATTAATACGACTAACGTGACGGCTTCTTTTTTTCGCCGTGTCTAGGCTCGCTGTTAGCCCAATTAAGACCCTCGAACATTCCATGTCTGTGTAATATTGTGAGATTAAAATAATCTTTCTCAACTGAAACTTACTTTGAAGCTTGTGAAGTAACCGGAATGGAGAGCTTTTCCCCAAGCATTTCGTTTTTAACATCCCTGTTCAAGGCGAAGATCATAGTCGACTGTAAGTAAACAGTCAAATTTTTATTTCCAACAAATAATTGAAATGAGATCCTAGGAAATACTGATTAAGGGTTGAATTTGCATTGCGTGCGTAATTCTCGGTGTTTGTGATACCGTCGCCATTGGGAATTGGTATTTTAGGTCGGAATCTTGAAAAGATCTCTTGTCAGTTGAGGAAGCAGATATATTTTCAATAAAATGTAGGCTTGCCCTGAAAAGGTTTGATGTACGATCGAGTAACAATGATATCTAGACGAGAATCTCGAACCTGACTAACGATATCCTGTTTGATTACTCATTTCCGTGGGATTTTACCAAAGATGACACATTGTACAAAGTATGTAGCAGAGATAAACAATCAGACAGCCAAAAAGGGGAAATATGTCGTTCCATGATAAATGCTATGTTTTTGTGACAAAAATAAAAGGACGAGAAGGCAATAAGTATCATAAAGTCCTGCGGCAAAGTTTTACGAACACCCAGAGTGAGAGCTATAAGTTAATCCTGAGGTCTTCCTAAACTAGTAATCACCTTGTTTCTTCCTTTTTTTTTCGGAGTAATTCGCAATGATTTTTAAAATTCAAATCTACACACTGAGACTAAGCGAATATTATCGAGAAAGTCTCGAAATGAAGTTGACAAAGAGGCGATTAAATATTTCATTTTGTTTACGCATTCTGTCTCTGCCAATGTCAATAGAGCCCTCTTCCCCAAAGGCATGATTTTGAAACTCAACCACCCTCCATCCATGGAGTGTTAGCGCAGTGACTGAGGTGACAGGGTACGAGCCTGACTACCAATCCTGAAACGCGGATTGTCAAACAGGATGAATAAGACAAGCCCTCTCCAGCTTCAGAGAAAAATGCCATTTAATCTGGAGGTCCAACAACCTACACCCCCCCCCCCTTCCCCTCCACCACTTGCACCTTTAAAGCTTTCCACACAGAGCCATTTGCAACCCACCCTTGGATAGGTTAGTGGCTGGGCTGCATGCGGGGCACTAGCCTTTATGTTAAGCCCCCTGCCGCATTTTCATCCGCAAAGCTGACTTGAAGGCGGGGGATGCCTTGCATGAGGCAAATGATTGAGTGGCTTTTGGCCGGAGTTTTCAATAGCCTCCCCACTTATCTTGTAGTCTCATTAAAAGCAACAGGCACTTAAGACAGTGAAACTGAAGCGATGAAGTTTCGCACAGATAATGGTCTGGTTTATCTCGCCATTGATGTTGGGTTCGTTTTACAATAATCTATTTTGCAACAAAATAAGAGATACTTACTTGTAATCTCGTACTATTAGTTTTTGCAATATATCAGCTTCCACATCTCAATTTTTTCTAACGACAGCGAGCGTACGCGACTACATTAGGCAATTTAAGTCAAAACTGAAGCAATGAAATATTTCTTCGTAATGGAAGCAAAAGACTACATATCCGCTTCTTTGTTGTGTTCGATGCACATGGTCCTTGTTTGCAGAAATATACAAGCACCCCTTTCACATTGTCGGGGGGGCGCCCTGAACAGAGACTTCCGCAAGATAAAAACTGAGAAAGCGTCAAGCCAGTAGTATAGGAGATGGCATACGAGACCACTTTGAAAAAGTGATCACGTACAAACGCCAACTTTCTATACTACTTTCCACTTTGTGGAAATAAAAGATGGATGTAAAAGATGGAAATATAAACTTATGGCATCATTTTATAATATCAAAGGATATGATCTCACAGCATTTTTCCCTGGCGCGACATTCTCAGAAAAACACTGACTTTCCCGACGAAATGAGTCATAGCATTGCTATTGTTTTGGGGTTATGTTATAGTCGAATAATTTTTTCACAAAAATTAGAAATCTCATACAATAGTATGATGGATTGTAATTCAGAAATTCATGTTGAATTTAATAATATGGAACAATTTGGTTGTCCATCTTGTAATGGCAACTTCAAGAAAACACAATGCCAATGTTTGCCAATGTTGCGGTCAGGTTGATAGATACGAAATAGTAAATGAGTTTGTGCCAATTTCAAGTTAAAAAACCTCCTCACTTTCAAACTGAGGCGAAATGCAAAACCTTTGAGGTGCAAAAGTGAATTGTTTGGTTGAGAATGAAAATATGTGTCATTACAAAGGCTTTACAAGTATCTTTGTCCTCAACAGCAGCCCTGTGCTTCTCGTAAATGGCTTATCGAAACTGTTTCGACCGTCAGTATAAAAGTTATCCCTCACCATGATGTGTGAGTATGCATGCAGTGATTTCAATTCATTCAAAAGTCAGGGAGCACTTAGAGTGTCGTAAAACCAAAACCAAATTAATCACAACGGCCAACTAGTAGAAAGGGAAATACCTTTAAGAGCCAATGACAACTGAAAGTAAAACCAACCAAACTTACTAAAGCGCGGGAAAACGCAGGCGACCAGGTCGTGAATGGTTTTTAGTTTTGCATCGGAATGGTTGAGAGAGTGGCGCGAATTCTCTGAACCAATCACAAAGCAGAAACGAAGCAAACCGGATTTCTTTCAACATTCAATTGCAAATTGCTCTAAAGTGCTGGATAACGTGTTATCAATCAAATGTAGCTTTTTCCAAAATTATACGGAATCGCTAGCCATCCAAGATACTGGATGGAAAAATTGCACATGAGCGACAGTTTTTTGTAAAAATTTCCGACATCTCTTGAAGCGTTTGCTATACCGTGCTCATTCAGTAATCAGTTTATCTTTCAATAGTCATAACTGCATGTTGTTCATGTGATTTGGTCCGAAAATGGGTATTTCAGCGCTAAAAGGTGTACAAAAGAATTTCACCTTTGCCAAACAAACTGTTTACATCTCCATTAAAGGTGAAATGATTGACAAGTTGACTTTGACTTACAACTGAGATAATCTCGGAAGCTGCTCCATTGGATTAGTTTGAGAACTTTTTATTAAATCGATGTCTTAATTAATTTTTGTAACTGTTGAAATAAAGAAGTCCTTGGGGGTATGTTTCCATCTTTGACAAAATGTGTTCTTGAATTGCGCTAACGATGTGTACCTAGTCATCTCCTGGTCGTGGGATTTTCTAGCCGTATTCATGCGATCAACAAGAGGTATTGCACTTCATGATTGCCCTTGGTATATACAACAGAATTTGAAGTATCAAAGTTTGACATTAAGCAGAACAACAAGTTCCTTTTACAGCTGCACGACAATCAAGCTTATTCAAATGGAATATAAGGTTACATACATTTTTCCTACATTCTACCAATTGAATTTGAATGATTGACCCCTATCAGGTAAATTTAGGATACGTGGCGAGGTTCTAAAGAAGGGAATAGGGGTAAATGGGAAAAAAGCAATTAAAAAAACACACGATTTTCTACAGTGCCTCTCTATAGTCTGTTTGTGACTGACAGAGCCCCTCACCATTCACCTGAAAACCATGTGATCCCCCAAAAAATCCTCCAAGCCCCCCTTCCGCTGGCAATAAAATGATAAGTGGTCGCTTTTGTCATGGTCTGCCATTCATTCCCTGTAATTTTAGCTTTCGTGTCTAACCCTTACTTTAACACTTGAAGTTATTCAAAATTGTCATGTACCAGACAATCTGTGGATGAAATGTTAAAGGAGAAGTGAGTTAATGGCCATGTCGTAAATGATCTCGCGACAAAATATCACACTGGTTTGATGTACAACATTTTCACGATCCTACTCACGAGTAACTCCCATCTCACAATCAATCAACCCAAATCACCTATCATATTTCTGTACTTCCGTCACGAACCTATCAAAAAATTCAATAACGCTTCGGTGACGACCGCCACTTGTGAGAGTACAAGTGATATATCTCCCAAGAAAGACAGATTTTCCTATGATTAACTACAAAACAAAGAGAAGCGTAATTTTGATTCCTTGAACCACTTTATTTTTAGTCGTGGATACGCAAAGCGTATAAAGCACTGATGTTAGGGATCAGAATATGCAAATTTGTCACTCACTCAGATGTAAACACGTCGATATGTCAACGGCAGACCAATTACTATCGACTTTCCGAGATAATACCGGGACGCGTCTGTCGACTTTCCGAAGTAACTGCCGCGACGTTGATATAGAATTCGACTTTCCTTCGAGAAAGTTTCGACTAGTACTCGTCGCAGCAAGCACATGGTAGTAAGCTGTGTGGAAGGTGAATGCGAAGAGTCTTTGACCCCTCGAGACGTTTGCTCGTCGATCCTCCAAGCTCACATTGGGTTTATAAATGATGAACCTTTTACGAGTGAACCTTACGAGCGAAACTTTGATCGTACTCACGAGGGAACCTATTAGCACACATATCAGCTAAAGTATGAATCAAGCACAAGGTTAAACAAAGACTAGAGCAACATGAGTAGCACAACTGATCAGTCCATGATATCCAACCAAAACACTCTTGTGGCCATGCAGAACGAAACGCAGTCAGAAGACTGATCTGTTAGTAACAGAAATCATACAGGAATGAAGTAGGTCAAAGTCCAATCGTATTAGCGAAGGTGTCTGTCGTGATAGTGGACCATCGAGATTACCGTGGAAGAAAATTCTGAACTTATTTAACAAGAGTAAATTAGGAGGTATGTAAGGTCTCGTACTGTGCTAAGTTTTCCACATTCGTCAGCGTTGAAAACGATTTTATCGTTTTATTACCGTAATTATCTTTAAACCAGACTGTATAGAAGTAAACCAGTTGTAATAACTCGTTCATAAAGTTCAAGGTTGTATTTTGCTTTTGATTGTGTTTATGTCTTCAAAACAAGAACTGTAAAGCATTAAAAAACATGTGAAGTATCACTTGTTTTTCATGATGAATTTGTACATGTTGTTCAATGTTATTCAATAAAGAAACGAAATCACAAGTATTTTGTTTCAAGGACAAAGTTACTTACTTCGGGAGATATCGTGTTAAACCCGAGGCCTGTTACTAGGTGAAATAATCCAAACCATCTTTATTAATTTAACAGTCTCGATAAGCTCAACATCTCTTAAGAATATAGGATATTGGTGGTGCAGGTGATTCTTTCTTCAGAGTTGTGTCCCATCAGTTGTATGGTGAACCTAGCTATCACATGAATGTTCGTAGTACTGGTGTTCAATATATCACAAACAATCCAGAAAGATTCATCAAAAGTAGTACAGACCATTCATGGCTAAGGTATTTAGCCAACATGTCACACCAAGGTACATAAGCTGATGCACATGTCAAACAAGAATGGAGCAAGTTACTTATTCACTACCCAAAGTACATACATACAAATTTTACGTTAGAAATCTGCTATAGCATATGATTTCACAGCAAAAAGTGAAGTTTAAGGAATGGTGTAGGTCAAACAGTAGCCAAAATGTGAATTCCAACTGTTCATCCAACATCACCCCAGCAGTTCAAAGTAATTCCAAGTAGTTTCAACTCTACTCAAGGGTTACCCACTGGCTGCCTATGTTTACACGTAAAAGTGTATGTTTTTGTAAAGAGGAATTTAATTATCTTCAAAACTCATTCAAACGTAATGTACCCACGATTTATTCACAGTTTCCTTTGATTTCACATTTAATCATTTCTTGTGAACACATAAAATGATGCCTTTCTAGTACCCCCTAGAGTCATCAAAATATCTTCACAAAAGACAGATCCTGATTGGTTTATAGATTCTCTAACAACAGAGGAACTTTGGAGACAAAATTATGCTTAATAGGGTAGGTGGGGGTGGGGAAAGCATCTCTCACACAAGTCCACTGTGTGTCATGGGTAGTTACGGGAATTGAATAACTGAATTTGAATGATTAACCATGATCAGGTAAATGTAGCCTGTGTGGCAAGGTTCTTAACTCCCAAATCCACCTTATAACTCCCAAGTCAAATTTTTAATTGTTTCTGTCAATCATATAACTGTTATAATGTTGGTTCAGAGAATTGAGTGTTGGATCATCTAATTATCCCAAAATTGATATTTTTCTTTATTTTCATCACTTATTTGCTTGATATTGTATTGATACTGTAAGGAGAAATTGTCTTGGTCATTCATGAGAGTTAAAGGGTTAAAAGGGAAATAGGGGTGAATGGGAAAAAAAACACTATTTTCGACAGTGCCTTTTTATAGTCTGTTTGTGACTGACAAAACCCCTAACCGTTCACCTGAAAACCATGTGATCCCAAAAGAGCCTCCAACCCCCCTCCCTTGATGATAAAATGATAACTGGTTGCATATCATTTAAGTGTTTGTGTCTGGCCCTAACTTAACCCTTTAACACCCAAGATCTCATAAGTGATTCTCTTTACTGTCTGCCATACAGTTCTTGTTATTTTAGTTTGGAGAATTTGGTATTAGTTCAAGTTATAATCCCCTAATTGATATTTTTCTTCACTCTCATCACTTGTCTGCTTTGTATATGTAATCACATGAGGCCAAGTACTATTAAGGATTAATTGCACGAGAGTTTTCAAAATTTTCCAAAATTTTGAAAACTCAAGTGCAATTAATCCTTAATAGTACGAGGTCTCATGGGATTACTTGTTTATCAATAAAGGGCAAAATTTATACGAAGGAAAATCACGCGCGCAGTCTATTTTTATCTGGGAAGCCTGTTTAGCGCTACGGCAAATCATCAATCAAATTGAACTGACCAATCGATTCAATGAAATTTTATTCTCCAAAACTGTGTCGTGATACACTGCCAAAAGTCTAGAAAACAAAGCTCATTTCAACAGAGCGTTTCTGCCAACAGAAAAACAACAAAGTGCTTTTAACTGAACAAGGTAATCATGCCCTCTCTTGATTACTAAAAATGCCCTCGATTAAGAAAAAATGCCCTCTCTCTCAACCAATCAGCGCTCAGTAATTTTGCCCTTTATTGATAAATATTGTAAGGAGAAATTCTGTTTTGGTCACTCATGGGATTTAAAGGGTTAAACACTTGATGTTATTGAAAATTGTCATCCATCAGACAATCTGTAAACAAAATGTAAAAGGAGTAACACAATGGCCACTTGTGATAGTAAAAGTGACAAATCTCCCAAGAAAAACAGATTTTCCTTTGAGTGACTACACTATAAAGAGAAAGGTGATTTGGATTCATTAACACACTTTTATTTTCCTTTCATTTCAAAATCCCAATACTGAAATTAAAGCATGATCATTGCTCTATGTCACATGCAGCCTTTTCCTTGAGTAGAGTGGTTCAGTGTCTTTATTGAATGAAGATGTATCCAAATTCCTTGATAATTTATTTTTGTCTCTGTTGCCTGCACTCCACAAAGCTCTGTATCCACATGTGTTTTGGTATCCTGATCCTCCTTCACCAGATCAGATTCTGGAATCAGGGGAATTGCAATCATCTTGTTTGTTGCCAATGACACTTATTCGTACCCTGCTGAATCCATTACCAGCTACATGTGAATTGAACCCTTCATGATTACATCATCGCTGCAGAGAGGCATCAGGACAATCAGCCTATTCCATGCATCCCAATATAGTGAGGTAGCATGGTATTGACCATCAGTGATGAGGGCATATTGTGGGGCTGCTTCCTGACCCAATTGCAAGAACCTGGTTACCCCATCAACCTTCATGCCATGGCATATCTTGATGAAGGAAGTGCTTCAGCAGGTTGGAAGCAGGGTCTCCAAGTGATCCAATCTGGTGACTCCATTTTTGAGAGACTGAAGACCTGAAGGTAACTGAAGGTTTCCTGCAAGATAAGGAAATTTTCAACTTAGTATCCATTGCATTGGTATAACTTCACTTTGTTCTATGAGTGGTCCAGCAAACTTGCACTAATCTCTCACCTGGTCAGATACGATACTTAACCCAATCATGATTTAACCCTTAAACCACTAAGAGCTGACTAGCATCTAATTTCTCCCTACATTATCAACTCTTGTTCATGTGATTTGGTCAGAGAATGAGTATTTCAACCCCAAAATGGTGTACAAAAGAATTTTACCCTCATTAAAGTTTACTCTTTCCATCTCTCTTAACCTTTTAACTCCCATAAGTGACCAAGACAGAATTTCTCCTTGCGATATCAATACAATTAATATCAAGCAGATAAGTGACAAAAATAAAGAAAAATATCAGTTAGAGGATTAGTAGTTTAGTAGTTGATCCAATACCAAATTCTCAAAACTAACATCACAAGAACTGTATGGTAGACAGTAAGGAGAATTACTAATGAGATCTTGGTGCAAGATCTGAACTTAAAGGTGAAATGACTGACAAGTTGACTCTGACATACAATCAAACTTGTCAAGCTGTGATTACAAGGGAATTGATTGAGATCATCTCAGGAGCTGCTGCACTGGATTAGATTGAGAACTTTTTATGAAAATGATGTCTTAAGTAATGTTTGTAACTGTTGAAATAAAGAAGCCCTTGGAGGTGTGTTTCCATCCTTGACAAAATTTGTTCTTGGATTGTACTCACAATAATGCGTATCGAGTCATCTCAACTAAGGACAACTAAGCTTATTCAAATGGAATTTCAGGCTACAGCTGCAGGACAACTAAGCTTATTCAAGTGGAATATCAGGCGACATTGTACATGCATTTTTTCCTACATTCTACTTCTTGAATTTCAATGATTAACCCCTATCAGGTAAATGTGGCTTGTGTGGTGAGGTTCTAAAGAAGGGAATGGGGGAAAAATACAAAAGAAAAAACACTCGATTTTCTACAATGCCTTTATAGTCTGTTTGTGAATGACAGATCCCCTCACCATTCACCTGAAAACCATGTGATCCCCCCAAAAATCATCTCAGCCCCCCCTCTTGTCAATAAAATATTAACTGGTCACTAATATTATCATGGTCTGCTATTTATTTCCTGTAATTTAAGTGTTTGTGTCTGGCCCTCACTTTAAAACTTGATTTAATTCAAGATTGTCAACTACCATACAGTCTGTGGATGAAATGTTAACCCATTAACTCTCAAGATCTAATCATCAATTCTCCAATCTAGCTGCCACACATTTCTTTTTAAGTTAGTTATGAGGATTTGATGCTAGATCAAAATAACAACTTCTATCAGATAAGTTTGAGTATTCTCATTACCTAATTGTCGGACAATTTATGGATATTATAGGGAGAAGTTACATGTTCATCACTTCTGGGAGTTAAAGGGTTAAAGGAAAAGTAACTTAATGGCCACTTGTGAGAGTAAAAGTGATAAATCTCCCAAGAATGGCAGATTTTCCTTCATGTAACTACAATACAAAGAGAAACCTGTCTTAATTCACTGACCCACTTTTACTTTCCCTTAATTTAACAGCAAAAGCAAAAACCCATATTTAACCCTATAACTCCCACAAGTGATTAACAAGTAACTTCTCCCTATAATATCCAGTCATTATCCAATAAAAAGTTAATGAGAATACCCAAATTTATCAGGTAGAAGTTGCTATCTTGATCTACCATCAAATCCTTATAACTAGCTTACAAAAAAATGTGTAGCAGCTAGAGTGGAGAATTGACAATTGGATCCTGGGAGTTAAAGGTTTAAAATTGCACCTGAAATTAGAGCATGATAATTACTCTATGTTGCATGCAGCTTTTCCTTGGAGCAGAGCAGTTCAGTGTCTCAAATAAAGGAAAATGTATCCAAATACCTTGATATTTTTGTCTCCATTGTCTACCCTCTACAAAGCTCTTTTTCCTCATGCATTTTCATATCCTGATCCTCCTCTGCCATATCCGATTCTGGAATAAGGGGAACTGCAAAGGATGTGCTCCAGTAGGTTGGTAACATGGTCTCCAAGTGATCCAATCCTGTGACTCCATTTTTGGGAGGAACTGAAGATCTGGAAGACCACGCTTTTGAATCGTAACTGAAGGTGTCCTGCAAGATAAGGAAATTTTCAACTTAGTATCCAGTGCATTGGTATCGCTTCACTTTGCTGTATGTGTGGTCCAACAAACTCACATCAATCTCTCACCCAGTCAGATGCTATACTTAACCCAATCATGACTTAACCCTTCCATCACTGAGAGCTGACTAGCATCTGATTTCTCCCTACATTATTAACCCTGAATCAAACAGGAAGGTTATGAGAATAAAGGAAATAATCACCAACTTAAGAAGCTCTTGATTGCTGAACAAATTATTCTTGTATGAATAGAATATTATGGACAATGTACATTGTGATGTTAGGGTGCAGAAGGTTAATCACTCAAGTCTTCCTGCTCTTTGAAAAGTAGACTTTGTTTGTGTCTTGATTTAGAGTTATTATTTAGTCATTGTGATTGTTTTTTGTGATTACTTTAAATACTCAATCAAAATGTGCACCACATTTAAGAGTTACTCTCATATCAAAGTCACAAAAGGCTGAGCCATGAGCTTAAGAAAATCTCAGAGGACATCCTTGTTTATAAAAAGTGCCATATAAAGTGCCACAATATCTTTACTGTATTAAGACTAGGAAAGCATTTTGACCAGCTGCATTTTATCTAGGATGGCTTAATGTGATCTCCTCTAAAACAAAACAAAAACTGACTCTAAAAGGCATGTAAAACAGACAGGAGTGGGCAAAATTAGAGGGAAGACAAATTAGTATCAAAATGTAAAAAAACTATGCCCCCATTAAGATCAGTCATAATTTATTGCCTTAAGTTTCTTTTGAAAATTGAGAGTAATGCTTTATTTACTAGATTCTTTATTATAAAACAAACAGAGAAGCCTTGACAGTGCTCTGTTCTGTTGTAAAGCACTTAAGAAGTGGCTTGAGAACTCTACCACTTCCTTCATGCTCTAGCAGCTTCCAACATGCTTTACAACAGAAATAGAGCACAGTCATGGCTTCTCTATTTGCCAAAGAAAGGGAGGACTGTAAAAATTGACTGCTAGTATAGGGGAAGAGATAGCAGATTTTTTGCCATAAGTAATGAAGTAATTTAAGTAGCAAACCCCTGTATGAGTTGGTATCGTTTTGGTTCTGATGTCATTAGCAGATATCATTGCTTCAGTATGATCAAAGAGAGAAAGCAAATTTCCAAGTTGTTCATTTACTTGAATCTAGATATTGTCCAGTTGAAATCTACTGATCACATTCTTGTTTCTATGAGCACTTCGAGGAAACAACACTTGCTGTCAAAAGATAACTGCTTTGTGAGATGTACTTGTTGCCACTTATGATGGATAATTATATTAAAAGATATCAAAGGGAACAACTAATGTACGAACCTACCTTCACCGATATCGCACAGCTCGTTCTTGTTCGTCAAACATCATACGTTAGCAATTTCAAGGAGTTCTTTTATACAGAAAGAGTCCCTCTTCAATTGTGGGGCAGCTGCAATTCAGTGTTTTCAATAACATATTCAAAGTACTCTTGGTAGATACTTTTCTCCTCTCCATTGGTCAGGTTCTCCCTCATGGATTAGATCTCATTATCCAGGATTGGGTGAAGTAGACCAACTACTTTCCATGAAGCTCTGGGAGAAAGAATAGTTCATCCGGTCTTCCACTTATAGTGTCACGGCTACAGCCCCTTATTAAATGTGTGTAACAGTGTTCTTTAACTTTATCCAGTTCATCTTGAAGTAATTGAGCGAAAGAGAACCAGAGGCATGCCATTTGAATCTCATCTCCTGGGTTAAAGATTTCCTGTTCCATAAGGCATTTAATAAAGTTAATCCACCAAACAGACCTAATTCTTCTGTAAAATGCCCAACAGCCCTAAATCCTTTGGTTTGCCGGGAATGGCTCATACTTGTGCGCTTCTGCATCTTGTTGAAATGTACATTGCATAGTTACAAAAATGGCGCCTTAATTAGCAGTATGTGGCCCGAGCTAGTCCCAGGTTCCGATCGCTTTCAGTGACAGGTTTAGTCACCAGTACTTTGAAATTTTGATTTTGGTGTGTTTTACGCTCGTTAAGAGAATTTCTACCTTCATCAGACCAATCTTAAAAGGCTATTTTTATCAATTTTCTACAACCAACTGACCAATAGAAATTATTATATGTACAGTAAGAGAATTATCCGCCTTTAGTAATGCATTAATGAAAGACTTTTCATTGAAAGCGTAGGCAGGGCCACTATGGCGATAACCACCTTCAAGCGTAAACCTGGACATCAGGTTCTTGCAATGTCGATAGAGCCTTCTCCCCAAAGGTATGCTTTTGACACTCAACCACCCTCCAGTCATGGAGTGTTAGCCCAGTGGCTGTGGTTTGAAAAGGGTACAAACATTACCACCAATCCTGTAAGATGAATAAGACAAGCCCTTTTCAACCTCATAGAAAACTGCCAGTTAGACAAGGGTCTAATAACATGCCCTCCCCACCCCTGGATTTTCCTTACAAAGCCATTTGCAACCCACCCTTGGATAGGTTAGTGGCTGGGCTGCATGCTGGGTACTACTCTTGACGTTAATTAAGTCCTTAGCATTTTTATCGGCAAGTCTGGGTAATGGCGGGGTATGCTCCTAACTCTAGCCATCAAGATTTTGCAGCCCCTCCTAAGCCTACTGCTTTGGACTTTCAACCACCCTCCAGCCACAGGGTGTTCACCCACTAACTGAGTTCTATCAACGCATGAACCTGACTGTCAATCTCGCAACATATCGGGCATGTTTTTGCAAATCCAATCGGATATACTTTTTGGACATGAAAGAAAAATTAAAACGCTAAGCATTACCTAATTCTTGAAAATGATACAAGACTTCCTCGCTCTTTGCTAATCTAATGGCCCCGTACACTGGCAAACAAATCCTACCATACCATTTAATTCCTCTTTGCAACATCTTCCCGCTCAAGTCTTGTGCAAGTTGCTACAAAAAAGATCACATACAAATAATCAAACTACAAAAAAAATATAGCATTCAACCATTTCCCACAAAGAAAACACTCTAAGTGGTCTCTTACAAGCCATTAAACCACTCGTACAAGTAAAGACATGATAACAATTATACATTTTACACAGTTTTAAAAATAATGAAATTTAGAAAATAATTCTCAAAAGAATAACTATGGCCTTTATTTATTTCAGTCACCTGAAATAAATCTTCGAGTTTTAGAATTTTAGTCTGTCATGTTGCTTCCAATGGAGCCAGTACAGGATTGTCATGGAATTTAACTTGATTTTCAATCGTTAGGGATCGAAGATAGTAATACATTGCTTGAATTCAGAAATAACCCCACAGTGATGTGAAAGGTTTGAAACTTTATGTGGGAATACCACCCATCAGCAATCTTCTTCTCTCGCTTTCAGTAAAAACTTTTTAACTAAAGCTGAGCGTGACAAAACAAAGCTTTGGTTTAATCTTAAAGGGAACGTCAAATTCAGCTGAAGAAGACCAATGTATGTATGGTCGATTTTCATTCTACCATTCTGAGTTGTGAAGGGCGGTAAGATGGACATGGCATGTATGAAGTCTCTCTCTCATTATTTTCGTCTATAGGAATATCATTTATCGACATTAACGACACTTGTCGGCCTAGTTCAATCTCCCAAAGAAGGACCTCTATGACAAGACCTTAAAATGTTGTGAAGGAAAGAAATATATCAAAATTCTTCTCCAAGAATGCATATCACATCTCTGTTATTTACCATAAAAGAGGAGCGCCAAATCATGGAGCATAATTCTTTTTACGCTGCTTGTTGTACTTATTTTAAAATAGGAAAATAACTGTGATTCAACATGATGTCAAAGATACAGATATCGAATTACGACGGACTTCTATCGTCATTTTATTGATTAAGTTCCATTGCACCAAGCATTATCTCCTATAATCAAAAATTACATCCATTCTACCTCTACGATTAGGGAAAGTAGTTGTACTTGGGACATGGGACTTCAGTCAGTTTGGCCAGATGACTTCATGATGGAGTTCAACTATCTGGGGTTGAGAACACCCACAGCACCTGAATCATGACATTACAACTTAATGTAAATATCTCAGTTGCATTCGCAAGGTATAGCTCTGTTTGTTTTTTGATTTGACTCATCTAGTATCTAGCGCATTTACATTGATTGAGTCACATCATATTGACTGACTTTTCCACTTTATGATTATCACAAAAAGCTCTTCATCTGATTTTGTCAGAACTTTGGATATACATTCCATAAGCTTCTTTCTCGATGAGGTGTCTTTATTTGTGGCCTATATGTGGATACATGGTTATTACAAATGTGGGAAAAAGACGACGACATAGCTGATTGTGGCATCTTGAGGTGGCGCAGACGACTTTAACAAAGTAGGTTTCATAATGTATGATTCGGCCCCCTCGTCGACGTCGATTTCGATCCGGAAAGGTACCCACAACAAAATCAAATGGGCAGTAGTAAACGAGTCTTTCCGATCCGTGGTCTAAGTCGAGTTCTCCTTGAAGGTTGCCTTCTTGCAGCTCGGCTATGAATGTATTGTAATAAACCAGTAAGGAAATGTCTGAACGAAATAAGGAAACGTCATCGACACCTGTGCAGTACGAATGCTCGACATAAATATGCTCCCAATCTGCTCTAATTTCATTGCGCCTTTCTAGACACGCGTTACAAAACCTAAATGGATTCATGGAGAACTGTGAACTGTGAAACGGCAGAAGGGCATTTCGTTGCGCATGCGCCAGTAAAATTACTTCGACGCTTTTGGCGCTGCGGGTTCTCAACTAAGCGATCGACACCTTTTTGTAATATTTTTTTGAGAGGGATGAAAGAGTATGACAAGTTTACCACCACTTCTAATTCTGTAGATACTCGTGGAGTTTGCTGGTTCTTCCGATGAGGGTACTTAATGATCAAAGTGCGAA